TCCCTTTCTGTCAGCGAGGTCGTCCCTCCTCTGACAGGGGTTCCTAGTCCCTTTCTGCCAGCAAGGTTTCTACCCTCTACTTGGCAGTGGTATCTAATACTTTAGTCCCTTTCTGTCAGAGAGGTTCCCCCTCCTCTGGCAGTGGTACCTGATACTTCCCCCATCTACCGGAGGAACTGGAAACTAGTTGGGCGGGAAACTTGGCCTAATTTTGCTCAGAGGTCTCCTAGAGACATGAGGTTCTTTTACGTGCCGTAAATCTACGACACGGGACCCACGGCTTAAAGTCCCTCCCGGAGGACTTGTTCCCTGAATTTTTCCGCCCTTAAAAATTCCACCACCTCCGCCGGGTTTTTGAACCCGCGTACCTTGAGTCATGAGGTGGGAACGTTACCCCTAGACTACGGAGGCCACTCAGGACAAAATTACGACAAAGCTAGCTAACAGATGTTCTGAAAACGTGGCAGTTCAGTTATATGGGAACTACAGTAACAAATCGAAACTTGATTCAGGAGGAAATTAAGATGAGAATGAATTCGGGTAATGCCTCCTACCATTTAGTCCAGAAATTGTCTTCTCGTCTGCTGTCTAGAAACTTAAAACTTAGGACATAAAAAATTACAAGTTTGCCTGTGGTTCTGCACGGGTGTAAAAACTGGCCTTTGACATTAATGAAAGAACATAGAGTGAGAGCATTTGAGAACAGGATGTTGATGGAGAATATTTGGACCGAAGAGAGATGAAGTGACAAGGTTGGAGGAAAGTTCATAATGAGAAGATTTATAACTTGTACTCTTTGCTAAGTATAATTAGAATAATCAATTCAAGGAAGCTGAGATGGGCAGGGAATGTAGAACGAATTTGAACCAAGAGGAATATATATATATTGGTGGGAAAGCCAAAAGGAATGAGACCACTACGAAGACCAAGACGTAGGTGGGTGGTAGAAAGAAAAAGTTGACCCTGTGTTTAACTAATTAAGGACTAAGCCATGAAGGCGTATGGGGGAGTGGATGTATAGATCCATATTTTCTTGACCTCGGCACTAGTTGGAGGTGAGTGCGTAGGTGGGTGGACAACATTAAAATGGATCTTACATAGACAGAGTGGCGTGGCATGAACTGGATAGTTCTCGCTAAGGATAGCGATTACAGGAGGGTTCTTGTGAACACGGTAATGAACCTTCGCGTTCCGTAAAACTCTGGGAAGTTCTTGAGTTGCTGCACAATTCGCGGCTTCTCAAGAAGGCTCAGCTCCATGAAATTAGTTAGGTGAAAAAGTGATAAAAGTATGTCAAGATGTACAGGGGACCTAGAATAAGGCGAATAAAACTTCTATATTTATCTGTCTGTGGCTCTACAGCTCTTTTTTTGTACCTTGGCCTCTCTTCAGGTACTTGATATTTTACGTGGTCGGTAGGACTCCTTGGACAGGGGATCAGCCCGTTGCAAGACTGCTACATGCACACGCACAGGACAACACAAACACAAATTAAAACGCACACAGACAACCATGCCTCAAGTGGGATTCGAACCCACGATCCCAGTGTTTGAGCGGGCGAAGACCGTTCATGCCTCGGAGTGCGCGGCCACTGTGATCGGCATCAGAAAACATGTCGAGGGTTATCAAGTTAAAATGGCATAGGCCTACGATATTTTCAAATAGACTGGCTGAATTTTACGCTTTTCAGGAATGTCATGACATTAGATAATCTACAGGGACAATAGTGTCCAATATAAACTGGCGATAATTGCGACATATCGAGATATGTCAGTTATCAACTACATATTAAATGTTTTCCAACTTTTAAAGTTCACGTCACGCATAGAAAAATTACCAGAGACCAAATACGTGGTTCGAAAATAGGCCAACTTCTGATCACGTGTTTACATTCATCAGATAATGGAGGCGAAATTGGAGTAAAATAGGACTACACGTCTATTAGTTCAAGTTTTCTAGACGGCATATTATTATGTACGTAGAGACGTATTTTACGTAATTTTTATTCTATCTATCTATCTATCTATCTATCTATCTATCTATCTGTCTATCTGTCTATCTTTGACTCTACGGCCCTTTGTTGGACCTTGGCCGTTATTTCAGTTTCTTAATCTTATATACAGTCGGTAGTATTCCTTGGACGGGAGATCAGCCCGTCGCAAGGCCGCTACCTACACACAGAACAACACAAACACAGAATACACGCACACAGACATTCATTCCTTGAGTGGGATTCGAACCCATAATCCCAACGTTTGAGAGAGCGAAGACATTTTATGCCTTACATCGCGAAGTGACTGTAATCGGCTCTTATTTGAACTAATAAGCTGAATTAAAATGCGTTTCAACAAATCCTATTGTAAAGTCTACATAATTGAACATTTGTAGGATGCGTTTACCATTGAGCATGTTCTGAAACAAGGAGCGCTTTGGCGTCTATACTTTTTGCTACGGACGTGCTATAGGAAGGTCCGAAAGAAAGAGAAGGGTCTGAAATTCGTTACTTCATTATCAAGCTTTTGTCTATGCTGAGGATATTAATTTACTGGGTGTATAAATAAACAGCGTAACTAGAAACATAGAAGCTCCTGTAATTGTTAGTAATGCTGTTGTTTCAGCAGTAAATAGTTCATATGGATTAAACTAAGCAAGGAATATTAAATTGGTATGACATTTAGATTCTAAAGGGTTAAGACAGTGTATAACACAGAGAATTACTGGGTTTCTGGACTATTTTCATCATCCGGTATTCTAGAAACTAGAAAACACGATCTTTCGAAACTTGAACTGTTTCTGTCCTCAGGTGAAGGGGGAAGCCACAATTTTGAGATTAGCTCCTCCTAAGTGGACCAATTGAGTAGGTGTCTTCACCCCCACCTGAGGACGGAAATAGGTCCAGTTTCCGAAACGTCGTGTTTTCTACTTCCTAGAATACCGGATGATTGAAAAAATATAAGAAACCCAGTGATTCTGCTTGGTATGACATGTTGGCACGCATAGGAGAAATGATATACGTATGTATATATGTAGATGTGTGTATGTATACGTATAAGATTTGCCTGGAAAAACTGTAGAGAAAGGACCGGAGAGGGACCACTTGGGAGATCTAGAAGTGGATGGGAGGATGATGTGAATGATAATCTTACAGAGAACGTTTGGAGTTTGTGGTTTGGAGTAATGCGGTATAAGATTGGGTCAGTAGTGGTTTCGTACGAACATGGGACGAACCTTTGGGTTCCATTAATTGGCAGTGGTCTTTTGAGTAAAACATTTTCTCATTTTTGAGAAAGTAAGTTGGTATCTTACATAATTAATCACTGCATGGCAATATCAAATCAGTCAAGTAAATTGAACGTAAAATGAGATTTTGAGCTTGTAAACAGAAGTGCACATCGTTCATAATTTAAAACTGCAGAGAAATAAACTGTATTTAGAGAGCGTTAGTATGAATGTAACGGGATGCATGTAATTCAGTGAAACGGCACTATCGTACTCATGGCAAATTAGTTGATCTGGTTCCATATCACTTTTATTGCTTATTGCTAGGGGGTAGATAGCGCGAGCTATTAAAATTCATTAATTCATTCCGAAGGCCGTAGAATATTAGCAATGTATCAATAATAATATTTCCCATAAATGCTATCTGAAGTTAGCAACAAACCCTAACAGCACATACCACGACAACGATGGTTTTATCATTGAACTTGTTATTGAATCTTTGCAGTTGAATTATTCTATCCTCTGAGGAACTTCGTAGTTTCCCTATGTGTATGATTGGCTACCCTGGCGACCCTGGCAGACTATGGAGTTCAATTGTAGAGAGGAAAGTTCTGCTGAAGTTAAACCATTATGTGCCTAAATGTGTTGGTTCTTTTACTCATTACCCTAGATTTTGTGTTTGCTTTAACTGCGGTGGATTCTACGTATGTGCCAAATGGGCCTTTAGTAAAATGTTCGTTTTTGTAAGTATGTAAATCGAACCAACGCTCTCAAGTGTAATCTTTAGGTTTTAGTAGATTCGTTTTATTTGTAATGTATTTAACGTCATTGTCAGTGGCTCAGACGGTATGGCGTGGGATTTCATTATATATTAAGTGTGTGGTATAATAAACATTTTCAATCTTTATGCTTTGCATTCTGTTGTGTGTTCGATAATCGTGTAAATTCGCCGTGAACACAACATAAAGGTATCTTTGAAATGAAGAAAAATTAGATACTATTGCATTTCTATTATTTGTTTATGTGAAGGTGTACGCAACATGTTTTGACCACTTCTAGGNCAAAAATAATAAGCTGTAATTATTTTAATTTTAGAATGTCCACATTGTAACCAGAAATAGATACAACATAGAGAAGAAATACACAGTGCACCTGAATTATAATACAAAGTCACAGTGACATACCAAAGAAAAGTGAGAACAAACTAAAAACCAATAACATAGCTTCTTTATCATAGTATAACAGCAAACGCCAGACAAAGGACAACCTACAGTGTGGGACAAAAAATACAAGAACAACATAGAATTTTACATTCAATGACAAGAGAATTTTAAATAATCTTAAATTTGAAGAATTTTAAAATTAGGAAGATTCTTGCAACTTTGTGAAAGTTGCATGTATTATATGATTGTGATGAGTAGTGCTAATATGGATCCACATTAGGACAGTTCAATAACAAGAGATGTATTTCTTTTCATTTCATTTATTTACATGTCAAAAATCCTTTACAAGGTCGTAAGACTCAGGATATAGACAATAGTCCAATATAACAATTAAATATAATAATTACAAAAAATATAATACATGTTAAAATATTTATGTAAACATAATTTTAAAATTATAAAACTTGTAATTTAACTTTTCATTAATTAAGTATTTAATCCCAATAAAATCAATTATCAATCTTCTTAACCGTGTAATCAAAAATTTCATCAATACCATAAAATGAATGTATTTGGTGAGACTGCCTGAAGATGGTTCAGAATGTGGGCCAAAACATGTAGCAACTCTCAAATAGAACCAATGTGAACAATTTGATTGGTTTATTTTTGTTGTGTTGATGGCTAGATATCATCAATCATGGTACACAACATAATGCAAACAGTGAGGAGAAGAGTTCTCGCATTGTAGAATATATAGCAGAATCATTAAAGAATTTATTTTCATTCAGAGATGGCTGTGAGCTCTAGTGATATTTGAAGTTGAACCCCAGATGAGCATTATCAGTAATTATTATTTCTGTGTAGAGGATGTTCTTAGTGTTTAATCCTTATCTAAACAAGAGAGAATGATTATCAGTACTCAGTAGCTTGAGCACAGTAGTGAAGTTGGCAACGCTTCTTCATGATCTCAAATCTTGGCCAAGGAACTATCTCTCTTGAGAGGTATATTGTAATTCTCTTCAGTTCCTCCAAGCAAATGTCAGATTAATATGTCAGAGTAAACCATGACTGCTTTCTTCCACATTCTTTCCAGTTTAGTATTCTCTGATATCTTACCATTCAACACTGTATAATCTAAGCTACTGACAGTGTTATTAAACAAATAGACATTGTTGGGAAATTGGAATCCTGCAAGGGTGAGGAAATCTATTCGTCATGTGCTTTTTCTTTTGTCTCAGTTGTACTGTATGGCTTTTGTATTTGTATGACTTCCACTACAGTCATTCTGACTTACTTTGGATCTATGGAATGTAATGTATGTATGTATGTATATTCCCACTGGCTGAATGAAGACAAATGATCAGCAGAGAGCACCCAGAAATTAACTAGGATCTCAGAAGGGATGATGTACATAGTATATAGAAGGATCTGCACTGGAGCTGACTTGGTTTGAACCAGTGATCTCTGACACAGGATGCAAGCAGATCCACCATGTTTTAAACATAAAAGTGGCTTTGTTGTGAGATTGCTTTTTAACTGTCTTAATCATCAATATCTCCCCCACAACTGGTTGAAGTTGTCTTGTGTTGGCTTTTGCTATTAGGTCTTTCTAACATCAGTTGTCTAATTTCTGTTGCAGACCATTGGAATTTCTTGATTGTGACCCTCTAATAGATCATAAGGGCAATAAAACTGCCAAAGAAGATCAGGGTGGTTATGGGTGTGTTAAGGTAAAATAGCTCATAGTGTTCTTTAACTGTACGTCCCTCGTCAAAATTATATAATTAAGGGTATGAACTATTTATGCATAGTTTAATACCATGAGAGACGCTCCATCGGCAAGATACCATCCCAGGACCGTCAAGTTGTAATTCCGCTATTGTCCTCCTTAGGCTAAGGGTGCCGCTATTGTCCCTAACGTCGCCTGCTTACTCCCAGTATATCATAAACCCACGAACTGGCCGTGTGCGAGACAGGCCATGAGGGGTCTTGGATTCCTTGAAGACCTACAGAGGTTTATGGGCATCTCGAAAAATACGAATGTTGGGCAGATGTCGGGCTCGACCCTTGGATTTCTCTTGTTATTTTTCTTGTTTTTCTGATGCCAACTGGGGGACTTGTAAAGAGGCGGACGGAGTCGGCTATAGGGAGCGGAGGAGGACAGTAGTTGGAATGTAGATAGAGAGGAGAGAAGTGTTCAAGAGTAGTGGTAGCTAGTCGGCGGATGGAGCGGCTAGCTAGGAGAATAATGTACATATTCATCATTAATGAAATTTTAAATTAAAACTGCCATCCATGGCGTGTTCTGGAGATCCCGGATTTATTTACCCCGAAGTGTGTTCCACTCCCTTCTCCAAAGCACCCGTATCCCTGAGAGAAAGAACTCAAGCTCGAGCGACAGTCGTGGCAACTGTACGTCGGCGGACGGCTACAGTTCTTATCTTCATTATCATATGCACAAACATTTCACACTGTATATGCTAACATACTCCTTTCTCCACATACTTGCAACATTTTTTTTTTAATTTTCTCTACTTCACATAGTTTATTGCTGCCATATTTTTGTTAAATTACTTATATTATTAAATGAAACTAAATTCATGGCTGTAATGAGTTAAAAAAGGCAAATAAGTAGAAGGTAGAAGAGAATCAATGCAAACCTGAATCACTAAAGCTGAGTACAAGTTTGTATGAAAACAAAGCAGAGAAGAAAGGTATGCATGTATGTGTAATAGTGAGTGGTAAGAATGACATTGAATACTGTAAATAAATAAAAGTAGTCATGAAAAGATTGGCTACCATTGCAGGACCACTTCTTTATTTCTAAGTGACAGAAATAGCCAGTCCCCACACCAACATTCAAGTATCATGTTTATGTACAGAAATGCATTTTGCAAGAATTTATGTGCAACTTTTGAGATAGTTCAACATGTAATATAATTGGGAATATGGCATTTATATGTCACGATATCTTCTGCTCATAGTTTGGTGGTTATAGATATGAGGATGTTGAAAAGGGGAAGAAAAACTGTACTGTGCTACAAGACATTGAGTGTGAAGGTGAAAGAACCTTTGGACGGGATGGCTTTCCATGTATCAAGTAAGTATCTTTATGCTGTTGTTGGTTAACAACCTAATTTAGGCTTTCTTCATTGTTCACTGTTGACTTGAGTTCAGCCCTTGGGCATTTACACCATGTGGATATTGGTAGTGTTGCTTCGGAGGTACATGCTCTCACCTTATGTAGCTGAATGATCACCACCGGCAGTGCTCTTGCTGAATTGTTCTGTTTATGAATTTTGAAAGGGCTCAAGTCACTTCAAAACAGTGCAGTAACTTTCAAAGTATTCTTCTTTTATTCCAGCATCTTTGCTGTGGCTGGAAATCATTTTCCCAATCTTTTTGGTAGTGCTGTCACATTGCTCTGAAAAACAGATCCTTACAAAGAGACTTTTTAGTTTTGAGAACATGAAAAGGTCCCATGAGGCCAAACCAGGGAAGTATTATTATTATATAAATGCAACCAGAGATTTTGTTTCTTATGATGAGTTTATTGCTGTTTACTTTCCAAAACTTTGTTGCTGCATTGAACAAATAATTTCATAATGGATAAAGGTATAATTGTCCCTGTGCTCAACAAATTAAGCACAAGCCATGAAGACATATGAGGGAGTGTATGTATAGATCCACATTTTCTTGACCTTGACACTAGCTGGAGCTCATAATAGATAATTCTATTAATATTAAAAAAAAGCAGAACGGACTCCTTTCTTTATGATAATAGCAGACTTTTGTGTTTTGTTCCCCCAGTTTTATCATACTGGAGTTTTGCATTGGAGACGCATCTTGTGTCTCGTCAAGTCACTGTTTTTTTTTTCCTAAAACTTTAGTTTGCTTGCTGATGAGATCTTTTACTTCCATTTTGGCTGACTTCATGTGCTGGTTTGTAATTGTACTCTCTGAATGTAATTTGTCAATCACTTCATATTTTCTCAGTCACTTTACCACATTTGGGTTATTCAGGAGAACAAATTCCTGACCTTGAAATAAATACTCAGTACCAGGTCACTCCTGTAATGGTGCAGCAGTCATTAAGCAGTATAAAACATATATGAATGCAGCACAAAACAGAACTCATACCACAGTTTTACAAAAATCCTCCCCTCCATCAAAACTTGATTCTATGCATATGATGTGTACAGACATAAAAACAATCACAGTTTTGATTTATATTGCCTTGGGTCCATTACACCTCAAGAACCATTAATCAGTTATGTACTAGAGAGCTCAGCAGTGAGATGGAGAATAGCAGCGGGATAATTCACTTGCCAAACCATGATTAGTAATTATAAAAATGGGTTAGCAATTGCAGGTTTCATTTTTGCAGTGCTTACCAAGTACTTAATGAAATACTGGTGTCTTAAAACGGCCATGCAAAGGATACACATATTTAGTAGCATAACTGATATTCTTAGGGTAGGTGGTCCAGTAATGTCACACTGGCTTGCCATACTGTGTACATTGGAAAGTGTGAGGGTTACAGAACCTCTTCCCATGAATATGTAAATCTTCAAAGAGTTCCATCTTCTGGGATATAACACCTTGTACTTACCAACTTTTTGGAGGAACATGTCTCCATCTTCAGGGTTGAAGAATCCAAGGAAGAAACCAGCATGAAGCAGGTGGCAAACAGTCACATAAGTTTATTTTAACAGACTACATGGCATTATTTTCCAGAAGATATAGTTCTTCCTAACCACTCATGTGAGATCCTCAAACCCTATATGTAAATCTTCTGCTAATTTTCATTTTTGCAGGTACAGTGGCCATTACTTTGCTACCACCCTCATCTACAGTATTTTATTAGGTTTCCTGGGAATGGACAGATTTTGCCTGGGCCAAACAGGAACAGCTGTTGGAAAATTATTGACTTTAGGTGGTGTTGGAATTTGGTGGATTGTTGATATAATATTGTTAGTGACAAATGGATTACAGCCAGAAGATGGAAGCAACTGGAATCCATATGTATAAGTTAACTAGACTTTATACCCTGTGCAAAACATTTTATATTATTGATGTGAAATCTCTACCAAAACAGGGTGATCTGGAGTTAATAGTGTACATAAGTTTGTGTTCATCAGAAGGATTATGGTTGTGTGATAGTTTCTTATAATAAAACACCATTTGCTGCTCAACACCTGTACACAAAAATATATTTGACCATGCAATTCACTATCCAATATACATATACTTTATGTAATGATGCTCAAAATATCAATTGTGTGATCGACATAAATTCTTTTCTTTAACCATCCAACATCATGTAACAATAATAAACACTGCATTCATCCCAAATGCCGTCATACCCAGACAGAACACATCTAGACTGAGATCTAATGGTGTTTGAGTAATGCCTGGTATTTCAATTACACGACAAATATGGGTGGGAATAAATATGATATAATACAGGAACTAATATTTAGTACATTTCACATAAAATCAAAGTATAAAATCTTAAAATATGAAAAGAACTGGAAAATTCTTTTGAAACACTACTTAAAACAAAGTGGAAAGGTAAACTATATCTGATATAGATTACTGACAGGTAACAGTAAAAAACAATATGTGGTTTATCTTATATTGATACATAGGAAATGTCATGGAATGTATGTAATGTAGATAACTATACTGTTCTATGATGGTTACAGGACACTGGTGATTAAATAATCACACCTACCAGACACTTTTTATTTTGGAGTATTTTCAAAGTAACTAACAGATAAGCAATCTGATCTAATAAATGCATATTAAAAGATTTCCCAAGCATGAATTAAATAACAATGTTACATAAAGCATTTATAAACAAATTATATGTACATATAATATACATAGAGATTCCTTTATATTCTTGGCCCCTACACAGTTGAATCAGCACCAGAAACGCTTAAAACTGGAAACCTTCATTTCCATTTACACTAACAACAAATCTGTGGTGTAATTCTTTGTCACTAAATGTACAAGGCTTCCATTTGGGGGACGTTCTTCTCCTCTGCTCCACCGCAGAAATAATCTGGAAGTATTGCAGGAGCTTCAGTAGGCACATGTCATTCAGCATCAAGTGGAATGTAATTAAATGTTACAAAATAAATACAATAAAAATTACAGAAACACTATCAGAAGCTAGTAAGTAGGTCAGTCTAAAGATAACATGGAGGTACAGCTCCTTGCATTCTTAATCTCAGCACTAGATGAGGTGAGTGGTCAGCATCATGCGCTGGTCATATTACCACTGGGGAAAAATTCCTTGTTACCCATGGGATAGGTGATTGGATAAGCCCCAGAGCCAGTTGGGATGGATGGGTGACAGAGAAAAATATCTCCCTGCCAGGGATCAAACCCCAGTTGTCCAGCCTGTAACCAGTTACTGTACTATTCACATTTGAGCTATCCCAAGTCTTCTGGTCTAGAAGTGAAGAGAGTATATGTTCAAGTCCTGTCACCAGAATACAGGACACAATCATAACTAATACATCCTTAAAAAATGAAACAATCCATATTATATGTCATATTTATAACAGCAGGACTGAATTCTGTCGGTTTGTGACTGAGCCTGTGAACTTACTCTGCAACAAATTCAAGTGGTGTCCAAGTTGAGAAGTCTGCATTTGGCATCCACTTGCGATTCATTGGTGTGTCAAGGGTCACTGGCAGAATTGCAACTGCAAGAGAATTGGGTGGAAGTCCACTGTTCTCTGCAGCTAGTGACTTGGTGAGCTGATGAACAGCAGCTTTTGCCATTCCATATCCAATCATACCTGCAGTGAGCAAAAGGGAAGCAATGAAACATGTAACTGGTCAACTTTTATACTTCAGCCACTCACCTACGATGACCACATTTTCAGGCACATCACATATAAGCCTATTAGCTTATCCACATACATAAAAGTCTAATGTCTGCAATTCTCTTTTTATTCCATTATGTAGACAAGGGGCATGTGGTAGTGTAGTTGGTTGAGGAACTATGCTACAAGCTGGAACGTTGTGGGTTCGATTTCCAATGAGGTCACTGGATTTTTCAGTTGACTTAATCCTTCCAGCTGCACTATGGCCCTGGGGTCAACTCAGGACTCAGCTTGTAACAGAAATGAGTACCAGGAATCTTCCTGGGGAGTAAAAGGCGGCTGGACGGCATGTAAGGCTGACAGCCTCACTGCCATCTGTGAGCCAACTGTCTAAAAAATGTGGGAGCCTCAACGTCTCACAAACCTATGGGATAAATTTTCATATTCGAGGTTTTCACAGCGGCATTCTTCATAAATGTGGGTACATTTACACTGAAAGGACTTGGAGAATAAGGTGCAGATTCGAGAAAAACGGGGCAAACTTTAATGCTGTTATGGGCTTCTGGCTGGGACCAATGAAAAATGCATAAAATTGGGAGAAACAAAATCTGACAGCAGAGTAACAATGTTTCTCTGCATTGTTTGCTTTGATCCTAAGTATGATGTTACATCTAAAGAACTATATCAGATGCTTAAAAACTTGCTTCAAATGTGTGGGATAAGTTACTTTTTGTATGACAATGTCAGTCATATAAAGATTATGAACTTGGGGCTAGATATTGGTTGGAAAAAAAGGCGCATTCCAGTCATTATGGTACCACTGTAAAAAAGCTTCAAATGATTAAAATGTGCATATTTTATTTCTTAGTTTGGTATAAAATTCATCATTTTACCTGGAGTTGGCCCAAGTGCTGGTTTAGCGCCTGGAAGAGTCAGTAACCCACCATCCTTCAGAAACTGGGCTGCAATTGAAGCTGCAATGGTGGAGCTCCAAACACTCTGGCGCCACATCAAATCAGCATTCTTTACCAGCTCTGAAATATTTTTGGCATTTTATTTTAATAATAATTAGAGTAAAACCAACTGATTTAAGCAGACAAGCAAAGTCAATGAAATTACCTTTTGATGCAGCATTTCCACCAGCCCATCCCCCAGCAACACAAATAACAGCATCAATTCTTTCTCCATTCAACAAAGTTCCAACCTGTGTCATTACATTCACTTCCTGAAATAAATACATATACTGTTAAAATGTGCTAACATTATATTGCATAGCTGCGAATACAGAGTAAACAGTCGCATACAGCTGACAAGGGATGATTCTCTAGCTTGGGGGTTGAGTGTGGGGCTGACAACTCCTCACCATAAAAAATAAGTTTGTTATGAAATGTCACAATAGGGCCTTGGACCTGGCAGATTATTTGGATAATTGATCTAAGCTAAAGAAAATGGATATGAAATTTGGTACATGGAACATAAGAAGTCTGTATACAGCAGGTTCACTCATGACTAGGGCCCGGATTTCGATGACTAAAGGAGAAAAGAAAGAACACTTTGCTTCCATGTTATTCACATTTCAGAAAACATATGAAGAAAAATTCCCTAAGATGGCCAAAAATGACAAGAAATACCCTTAAAAGTCCAAAAATTTACCAAAAAATTACACCCAAAATGAAAGAATTACCTATAAAATTTACATTTCTGTAACCAGCAGCTCATATCTGAGATTTATATATTTAAGAGCATTGCATAGGATACAAGGAAAAAAAGATGACATGTCATCAAAATTCGGGCCCTGCTCATGACAATAGTGGAAGAAATAACAGAATATGTTAGATTTAGGGGGGCGGGGGTTACAGGAGATCAGATGGGATGGAGGTGGCACTGAAACAGCAGGTGAATATACAGGGTGTATCAGGATCTCAAGAGAGATAGGATGGAGTGCTATGGATGGGATTGGTCTAATTCACGATAGGGACCAGTGTGGACGGCTCTTGTGAACATAGTAATTAAACTTCAGGTTCCATAAATACCTGCACAACTGGCAGCTTCTCAAGAACAGCCCAGCTCCATGAAGTTAGTTAGTTTACATTATATCAGGACACAGAAATACTGAAATTAGGGCATCAAGACAGACTTTGCTGAAACTGAAGGGACAACATTTGAAACTGTGTCTGACATCCAAGGGGAATCACAAGGAGTACTCAACAGCATTAAGGAAAATGACTTCCACGGTGCTTTTGAAGCAGGGCAAAAATGATGGGATTGCTGTGTACCTTCTCAAGGGGAATATTTTGAAGGAGACGGCAGCTAATAAGCCAGCATTTCTTCTTTGACCGCATCTGGGAACCTTCCAATACCGTTCACACACTTCCATCACTTTAACAAAATTTGTGTAAATCAGTATATTAACAAGAATTAGTTTTCTTCCACTTTCAAAGAGTCTTACTATTCTGATAAAAAGTCCATATAAGTCTTAGACTGGGGGAAGCTGTAGCGTAGTTGGTTGCGGCACTATGCTACAAGTCAGAAGTTTGTAGGTTCGATTCCCAATGAGATTACTGGATTTTTCAATTGACCCAATCCTTCTAACCGCACAATGGCCTTGGGGTTGATTCAGCCTCTAACAGAAATGTGTACCAGGAATCTTTCTGGGTGTAAAGGGCAGCTGGTGCATGAGACCGACAACCTTACTGCCTTCTGTGAACCAACTGTCTAGAAAAACAGGGACCCTCAATGTCTCATAACTAGGGGCCTCCACAGCCTGTTACAAGGATAACTTTACCCTTTTTAACAGTCTTAGTTAACCCACTCAAAAAGACGGTCATCAAGGAAGAATGAAGACCAAGCTTAGTAAATTTTCATGAATGTTATCACTTGAACTATGAGTAATTGTTTTTTCATCATATTCATCTGCACAAGAGATACCTGAAGAATCATTCTCTAAACAAGATTGGAATGGTGCAATCTGTACTAGAGCACACAGTTTCCATATGCATTCTTTACACCTTGGCTTTCTGAATACTCCTAGATACTGCCAGGCATCTGGCACCCCTGGATTTGTAGGGTGGAGGACAGAAGGAAATATACCAAATGCTAAATTTGTTTTTCAAAAAGTTTATTCTTCAACCTTAAATATTCTAGGGTAATCAGCAAAAGAGTCTTAAACAGCATAAATGTGAGTTTGTAGGCAAATTTTCTACCCTCCAAAAAAACCCTGGCAACACCCATGGTATATACATACCTGTTCAATCCAGTTCTCATCATGCTTGACCAATATGTTTGCATCAGCCTGATCATTTGCTTTAAGATCAATTGAAGCAACCCACTGAAAGAACAAAAGGAACCTTTAAACTGAAATCTTCATGTGTTTCAGACAGCCAATACTTCTACATGTCCATGTATAATGGAAATGTATGTGAGCATGTGCTTCACAGGAAAATTAACACATTTTCACAATATTCCAGGCAAATGCTAGGACAGTAAAAGGTAAAGTTGTTCCGGTGCTCACCGAATTAAGAACTATGCCATGAAGGTGTATGTGGGAGTGGATGTATAGATCCACGTTTTCTTGACCTTGGTGCTAGATGGAAGTGAGTGGTCAGCTTCACTCCCCTGCTGCTTTACACCTGAGGAAAGAGTCCCCAGTACCCATTGGATAGGAGGTTGGGTGGACCTCAGAGGCGGTCTGGACGATTTGGAGAAGAGAAAATTCTTGACCCTACCGGGACTCTTATCTCCAACCTCTCAGGCATCCAGCCTATAGCCAGTCACTATATCGACTACGCTACCATAGCTCTTAATGCTAGGATAGTACCTACCTAAAATTAGGTCACGACTACCTCATTCCACATACTTTCCAATTATTGACTATCAGCCTGCCATTCCACATTTTACAGTCTGAGCTAACACATTGCATAAACTATAAATAAATAAATGGTGAATGCAGAATTGTATAAATTGTGTAATGATTCTATTTCCTCTGCATACTTATTTTACTAATTTGCAATGCGTCATATAATACAAAAGTAATAAATAGAAAGTATTACATTTTTGGATTGGGTACCATGTAATCTGATAGAAGTTAATCATGTTGCAATATTATACTTTATCCAACAAAAACTCAAATGACCTTCATTCCACCAAATTCTCCATCATAATCACACAGGGCAGGCTACAATAGGCCAATCGGTAGGCGCCGTGCCGGGTGGACCCAGCTGGACTGCATCCCCCACTAAGCGAATTTAAAACTCAATTGACACAATAGAGTGAAAGTGAGTTATTTTTGATTGTTATGTTTGACAGGTGAACCAAAACAAATAAATATACATATACAGTGGTAGATGTTAACCACCATTTCAGAAGAGCATACTGTCTCCATCTTAGAGTAAGCTTTACAAGCAAGCAGCAAAGCATACTTGGCTCACTCTTCAACTGTGAAGACAGAGGCAGTTTGTTCTTCCTAAGCACTGGTAAACTTCCACTAAGCTATATGGCACAACATCACAGAACATAGTATGTTTTGGTCACCATCAGCGTCTTAAATCTCACAATGTGATAAATGGGCTGTAAGCAAGGGTGTGCTGGTGGGGGCTAGTGTGAGTCCCTTGTTAAACTTTTGAGTATTACCCAAGCTCCTTGGTTTAAAATAACTAGATTGATTAACTTTAACAACAAAATTAAAATCCAACTTATAATTTCAATCTAATTTTTTTCTTATTATCTACCATTTTCCAATTCAAATCTATCACATTTCTGAAGAACATTCTGCTAGCTACCATTACAGCCTATAAGTTTTAAACATCTGGCAGCACTGACCACAAGCAATAGTTGTTAAGTTTCCAACATCTGTTGTGTAGGCAGTCACAGTGACACATTCTTTGTTTAGAATGTTACTGTAATATTGTATATTTACACCACGATTTGTTAGACCTTATGAAAAAATGAAAAGTCAAAACACTTTACTGCCATTTCCTAAAATGACACAATGCAAAATTGACTAATCTATCACTGTTAAGCCATGTTCTGGTCCATCAGTAGTGATGAAAACAGAAGATTCCCCCAGTGAAACAAACAGTTCATCTGAAAGTGCAGATTGCTGGTCTAAAATTCAGGTGAAATATTTTTAAAAGGAATACAAACTGTTAGTGGCTAAGCACAGTGACAGTTTTTGAATAAATATTTATTGTATTAATTATAAAATTATTCTGTATATTACAGAAATATTTTTTCTTACTTTACATACAGCCCTACAACATTTGGAAACGAGCCCCAAGTTAATAAACTGGCAGCATAACCCTGGCTGTAAGGCAATTTATGGCACCACAGATGGTGATTAGTATCAAGCTGAGAATAATTCTTGAAAGATTCCATTCTTATGAATATGATTCTGAAATAATGAAGTCCCAAATGTAATAAAGAAAATGCAGTAAAACATGAAGTTTGAAACGAAAACTGCCTTCTATGATTCTACCCTCACAGAGTACACTGTATATTGCACCTAAGATCATATAGCAGGCAATTTTTAGGATAAATACTCAGTAGGTGGTGATGATAATGCAAATACATACTGACAAGTTTACTACACAACACTGCCACCAAATAGGTCATCACTGCTTCCTCGTCGATCCTTCTGAATTCATTATTCACAATCACCCTGCCATTAAATAAAGTAAGAAAAAATTACAGTTAGCTACTTCTGTACAAATGTTACAACTGGCCCACTATGTATATCATCGAACCCACAGAATTTCATTCACATGGTCTATTTTCAACTACAAGGCCAAATCAGTCCCAAAACAACGAAATCTAAAATATCCTGTGCATAATTACCAGCCAAAAACATTCTAATTATCGAAAACTATTGCGTAAACACAATCAATACTCCTCCTCTGCTTTTGCATCTTCTATCCGCGGGCTTCCCCTAGCTCTATCATGGTGACAAAAATCAAAACCCGCTTAAACGTAACTATCAGTAGATACAGCAGTCTTTCCATGTACACTCCAGGGCTGAAAGTAGTCCATTTTTTCATTACAACTAAAAGAACTTTACGAAGGACGTTTTCTAATCCTGTCAACTTTCACCCGGTTTGTAGTCTCTGTAGGTCTATTATATAGATGAAATTATGCTTCTGTATTGTCCATTTCGTAAGGAAAATTGTAACTATTTCATAAATACCCAATTTTGTGCTTTATAGTGCGCCACACACGCAGCACCCAGTGCTCCTCTTCCTCCGTAAATGAACACACGTCCTAGCACAGCGGCCATGTTTCCTTGCTAGCTGCGAGGAATGACGGGAAAGCAGGATTTGTGACGTCATTATGGCCTAGTTGGGTTAGGTTTAGTGATGGTAGTGTATTGAAAATTTTTCGTGAATGAGAATGTATTGAACGGAAGAAGATAACTTAATTTCCCGTTATCGATACTAGAGAATTTGGTGAAAACAACATAAACAGTAATAAGATAGGGAGTTCCGTGTACTCTCTGAAATGTCTCGACATGAAGGTGAGTGATGCCCTATTGCAGGTCAGAATAGGCTACGTTCTTGCCTGGGATTAGGCTACACATCCATCAAGATTTATCCGAGGAAGTGCGACTGTGGTTATGCTCGACATTTCAGGTGTCAGTAATTCTGATATTGGCACTATATATCTGAGTAATAAAATGATTGCAATTACAATTTAGTACTAAGACGAACTTCAAAAAAGCAGTGAGGCATCTAGGTAGCTTATGCCGATCAGGCCATATCTAGAGAAATACCCCAGTCTGATGTTAAAAAAGTCGTATATAACGATGTATAGTGGACAGTTGCATCTATGAAAAACATAAGCGTTTCAAAATATACCCATAGGTTGTAGACAAGGATACTTGCAAGTAAAGGAGAATGGCCATTTGGTATAAAGGTGTGGAAAATATTGTACGATATGTCTTTTTATGTGCTTAATTATATTTCGTTATTGAAAGGCAAGATTTGTCAATTTTGTGAAAATGTGATGCAATGGTGTAAACATCATATTTTCTAAATTTATGAATGTTAGTGTTAAATCTGTGTTACCAGTTACAATGTTGGAATTGTCAGCAGCAATAAAATGTTCTTTATATTAATAACTGATTTTAGCATTATAAATTAAAATAAAATGCGGAACAGCGTTAAAACACGGACCACTTAGAGACATTTCCAAATTTGGGCTTTATTTACAGTTACTAGACCTTCACCCAAATGTGACTGTTCTAACATAAGACCCCAGCATATGATTGAATTTGAGTTTTATTTATGAGTTCTACCATAAATACAGACAAATCTGATTACACTCTCAATACACTTACTGGTCACTGTATCAAAAAGTTATAATTAAATTGTGATTTAGAGAACTAATTTCTCAGAACAAAGCCATTTTTCGATATGCAATTAGAAATGTTACTTCATCATAACAAGAATTAGACATAAAGCCCAATGCTTAACAGTCTCACTTGTCTGCATGTCTGTGACAAGTGAAAAATTAAAGTCAATTATCGGACAATTCGTAGAATGTATTTGGTAGTATGAACTCCCAGTCCATTTTTTTTTTTTATTTCTTAGGTGTCGACAAGTAAATTTCAATAGGAAATATTATCATGTATGCACATGTTATAAGAGACAGTAGACTTCTCCTGCATGTCTAGTATGTTATGTGATGACAAGTGCAATAGTGCAGAATCATTACATGGTCTGGGTAGGTACAGTTGGTTTGTGAAAAAATGTCTGATATAATTTTTGAACAGTGAACTGAGTCAACATTTATGGATCCCTGATAGTTCCATTTGGCTGATTACAGTATATTTAGAAATTTATGTGTAGTTTCTAAGTGATCTGCTTACTAGGGCTGGTACAGTTAAAACAAACTGATTCATTCCCTTGCTGCTGAGAAAACTTGAGAGGTCACTCCTGTTTCGTTAGGTTGGAGGTTTTATCAGATGTTCCCTTTCATCCAGTCATGTAGGAACAAAGAAATTGGCTTGTGCAGTAGGCCTTCATCTTTAGTGTTTGAAGTTAACCAATACCATAGAGCAGGCTTCTTGAAAGCTGCTCAGTCATATTTTCTGTTAGTGAAGAGCACTACATGCAGGGATGTGATGCTGTGTATGTGGGAGAAGTTTACAGAAGTTTTCCAAGCAGTATATGGCCTGCATCTTCTTGATTGAAGTGTAAGCCAAGTAAGCAGCACATGCCGCTTTATTGTTACATGCTTGGCCTACCCTTTGACCCTGAATATGGAAATAGTACATTCCCCATAGATATCAGTTGGTATTTTCTGAAGTTAATATGAGGGATGGAATTTTTCTGCCAGGTTTGCTGCACCGTGACAATTCCCCAAGATAACCGGCCTTCACTCTGCAGCAGTTCTTGTCTGAAACAATATTGCACAAGTGTTGGTAGTTAATATTCAGCAGCTTTGGCTTTAAGTAGTTGTTTTTGTTTCCCAGAATAAAAAATCAGCGCAAAGAAATGGCACATTCTTTTTGATATACAATTGAATGTGACTGCATTACCTTGGAAAGAAATCTGTTGTTGCTTGGTAAGCTGTTGTTACTTGCTAAATACCAAACAACAGTGAAATTTGTCTGACCAGTGAAGCTGATTTTGAGAAAAGTGACATCTTGCATTTGTGGCTCTAATGTGTATGCCATTGTTGTCCTGAAGATACTGTGTGTGCAGTTTTATTTAGGTTGATGGTCCCATTAAATTACTGAAATTCAGTAGAAGTTATGTGAGCAGTTTTTTAAGAAAACCTCAATTTTATGTTTTGGGGTACATTTGAAGGACCTGTATTTTTGGAGTTACAATGTTCGGGTTCACTAGGCACTGACCTAGGATGAATAAACTCTTGAATGCTGAAAATTAATCAACTCCTTCACAACTATTAGGTGGCAGTAAGATTCATATCCATATGTACATCCACATTTACAGAGAATATTCAAAGAACCACTCGTTATATTTTGAGGTAGCTCAAAACATAAATCTTTTAGAATCTCCAGATTGATATTCTTTTCAAGTTCAGAGTCCTTTCTCACATATACTACATATGGGAGAAACTGAAGTTGTCAAAGCGGATGATATGAAGACATTGACTCAGAAACATGACAGTCCGCTAAATTTATTTGATAAAAATGATAGTGGTGTGCTTTTAAAAGGGATTAAGCTGTTGGATTTGAGGTTCTTATGGCAGTGACTGTGAAACTACTGTTTTCTGGGATATAATGTCATGTAGTCACCAGCATTTAGGAGGACTGTACTGTCTGCATCTTCAGGGTTTAAGAGTAAGCCAGACAAGAAACTGGTGAGAATTAGGTGGCCTGTCCACCTAAGGGGTGAAGTAATTTACATTGTTTATCAAACTTTTTGTGTGACCTCTTGTACTGAGAGAGTGCTTGAGTGAAATTTCTGTTACTGCAATAAAGCTAATGAAGTTCCAGCCACAAATTTGTTCTTACCTAGGCCAATATTCACATGGTTACACATACACACACCCAAAAATTGATGGACATAAATACTCCATGCAGTATGGTTTAAAGACAAACATGATGTGTGATTTTTGTTCTCCAAACATCAAACTTATTGTTCATCTTCTTCAGGTGTTAGCTGTGATTCATGTTTGAAAGAAAACTTCCGTGGCCGGCGCTATAAGTGCCTCATTTGCTATGATTATGATTTGTGTGCAACATGCTATGAGGCAGGAGCTACAACTACCCGTCATACGACGGAACATCCAATGCAGTGCATCCTTACAAGGTCTGATTTTGGTATGTATGGTAGTAACATTGATTTCAGAAGTATAGTCTCTACCTGGTTGATAATTGTGCAGTGTTTACTACCCTTTGTAACCTTTCACTGCCTTCAAAGCACTAAAAATTTAGTACATATCATGATATTTTTTCTTGAAGGGACGTCTACTGCCATGTTCTCACTAGAGAAGTTGGTTATGTGAGTGAAGTATGTAGTATTCTTGTTATTCCTTATTTGTTCCTGTGGTGTTTAGTTGCAAATTTATGATATTACTCATACTTCCAAATGTGTTTTTTAAACATGTTCTGCAAATAAGTCTTTTAAGATCTAGTGTAACACCTGTTAAGAATTCTGTGGGAAGTTTCATCATTTCTTATATAAGCTTTTGTACTGTTGACTTGCCCTGCTTTCTCCTTTATTCTTTTCCAGTCATATACACAGCGTGATAATAAAGTTCCTGACCTGATGCTGTTACAGTAACATTACTAACACCATCTATCAGGAATGAACAGGACTAGTTAGAGAGAATGTTTATTTATATGATGTGCAAGTTTCAACTTGTTTGACTGATGCATATGCGAATTACAATTGTTTTGGTGAACTCAGTTTTTTGGTCGTGTCGAATGTTTCAAAAATGGAACAAAGAGCAGCGATTAAGTTTTGTGTAAAATTAAAGAAAATGGCTACTGAAACATTTGAAATGTTGAAAAGTGCTTATGATGAAGAATAATTATTTAGAACAAGTGTGTTTGAATGGCATAAAAGGCCAAAAGCAGCTCAGAAAGTAAGAATGCAAAGGTCATGGGTGAAAACAATGTTGACTACATTTTTTTATGCTAAGGGTATCATTCTTCTCAAATTTGTGCCAGAAAAACAGATTATGAACAGTAAATTTTATAAAGAGGTAGTGAAGAGATCAATCACTCGAGAGTTCATCATGTTAGGCCTGAGTTTCAGGAAAGTGGGTCATTGTATCTTCTGCACTGGCACATTCTTCGGGTATTGTCTCCGAGTTTTTGTTGAAACAAGGGATCCCCATGTTATCCCATTCACCCTACTCCTCTCATTTATTTTCGGCTGACTTTTTTATTTTCTTAATTAAAAATTGTGAAGAAATGGAGGAGATTCAATGCTGTTTCGTTGATCCAACAGACTGTGACGAGAAAACTGAAGGCAATATGGGAAGAAGTGTTTCCTTGGGCATTCGATTTGTTGTATGAACAATGTAAACATTGTGTGGAAGCAGACAGGGACTATATTGAGTGGCGGTATTAATAAAAATTTGTTATCATATTTCTGTGGGTTCTTATGGTGTCAGTTTGGGAAATTAATTGTCACACTGTGTATGTTATGGTATGGTGATGCTGACATTTAGCATCTCACATGAGGAACATGAATAAATAGTTAGTTGCTGTCTTCTTTATATAATATACTAGGCTTCCAGTATCCACAATAGATTATCATTAGTACTCAAAAAATGGGCATGATGCGGATGCACTGAAACAAAAATCTGCTCACTCGTGACCTGCTACATACGAAGGCGGACCCAAAATTAACCGGAAACGACCTGTTGCGCGGGCATGCTTTGTAGTTACAAGTTGTGCTGCTAGGTGGTGTTAGCTGGGGGTCTCCCGCGACTGTTAGTGAGCTGGCGTCAGTCTGAGTTAAGTGGTTTGTCTGTGGTGCTCTGTTGTGTGCGTTCCTGTTTCAACCCTTTGGCGATTAGTGAGATGGCCGACCAGAAGGAACAAAGAGTGTGCGTGAAATTTTGCTTTCTGTTAGGGAAAACTGCAGTTCACTCTTCAAGTCGCGGCAAATATTCACGCGGTTTTCTCTTTGGTCATCTCCGAGCAAGCGAGGAACAAATTTTGCAGACACCCGTCTCATGTGCAAACCTTCGGTTAAAATTCGCTGGACCGTGCTCCATGAGATGTTCGTTTCCTCAGAAAGTTGGTCAGTGGTCTTTCGACGATCTTCATCAATTTCACGCACACTCTTTGTTCCTTCTGGTCGGCTATCTCACTAATCGCCAAAGGGTTGAAACAGGAACGCACACAACAGAGCACCACAGACAAACCACTTAACTCAGACTGACGTCAGCTCACTAACAGTCGCGGGAGACCCACCTAGTAGCACAACTCGTAACTACAAAGCATGCGCGCGCAACAGGTCGTTTCCTGTTATTTTTGGGTCCCCCCTCGTAATCTACATTCATGCAACATGTTAATGCTTGACAGTTCATTGTTCTTGTAACTTGAAATTGCATAATTTCATGGCTTTCGTTTCAGTTACACTACTTACATACATACGAGGGGGTACCCAAAAGAAACTGAACTTATTTTTTTTAAACTCATTTATTCAAATTTTAAGCACAAACCTTCAATCCCCTTCAAAGTACTCTCCACTTACACTAATACACTTGTCTAGTCTTTTATTCCATTTTTCAAAACATTGTCTAAATTCATCTTTTGAGATGCTTGACAGCGCCTCCGTCGTTTTTTCCTTCACCTCAGCAACATCAGCAAAACGCTTTCCTTTCATGTCTCTTTTCATTCGAGGAAACAAAAAAAAGTCGCACGGGGCAAGGTCGGGTGAGTATGGAGGGTGAGGAACAGGGGTCATACCATTTTTGGTCAAGAATTGTCGTACAGACAGGGCTGTGTGAGCAGGGGCATTGTCATGATGGAAAAACCAGTCACCTGACTGCCACAAATCTGGCCGCTTCCGCCGCAAACTGTTGCGCAATCTTTTCAAAACTTCCAAGTAGAAAGCCTGGTTAACTGACCCTGTGGAACAAACTCTGAATGGAAGACTCCTCTCACATCGAAAAAACAAATCAGCATTTTTTTCATGTTTGATTTCACCTGACGAGCTTTCTTGGGGCGAGGCGAACTTGAAGTCTTCCACTGGCTTGATTGTTGCTTTGATTCAGGATCGTAAGCATAGCACCAGGTTTCGTCCCTGGTGATAATTTTTGAAAAAAAGTTTTGATCATTTCGGGACTCTTCTTTCAAAGCACAGCATGCTTCCACGCGACCTTGTTTTTGTTCAGCAGTCAGCAGTCGTGGCACGAATTTCGCAGCCACCCTTTTCATTCCCAAATCTTCTGTCAAAATTCGCTGAACTGAGCTCCAAGTCACTCCCGACAGCTCCACAATTTCTTCAATGGTCCGTCGTCGATCTTCCTTGATGATTTCACGAATTTTTTCAACATTTTCATGTGTTCGGGCCGTGGAAGGACGACCAGAACGAGGTTTGTCATCAATTGACATTTCACCATTTGATACGGGAAAACCACTCAACACTTGAGTTTTCCCCATAGCATCGTCCTTGTACGCTGTTTTTAACATTTCAAGAGTTTCTGTTCCACTTTTCCCGAGCAAAAAGTAGAATTTCACCGCCGCACGCTGTTCACGAAAATCAGCCATTGCAAAAACGACGATCACACAAAACAGTTGTCACTATAAACTCTGCCGAAACTAGTCCTTACCTTCTGAAGCAACGGTAGTCGGCTTATCGACTCAGGAATGTTAGCTCTATGCGCTCATAGCGGCAAAACGCGGTACTACAAAAGCTGTGCCCACAAAAAAATTAGTTCAGTTTCTTTTGGGTACCCCATCGTATATGCATAACTGTGACTCCTTCTTGAGTTGTGTAAATATGTCCCACTCATTGTTAATTCTTTGATTTCCAAGTTCCACAACAAAACTACCTACTACAAATGCTGATGTTGTGTGGGGATTAAAGCAGTTGCAAAGAAATCGCACAGTGTAATAAAATTCAAATGACAGTAGAACAGATCGTGTGAATGCCTGTTCTTTCCTTTAAACATACATATGGCATTCTTGATGCAATACATTGACAGAAGTGTGATATCAGTTGATTAACAGTGAACTGATTTCATTGGCTGTGCCAATTTTAAGTCATGTATCCGTAGCTGTTCTGTTCAATTCATGGCATGCAAAAGGTTAAGATGGGTTCTGTAGAGGTTGCAAGTGTGATGGATTTATTTCTCCTGTTTTCCCTCTTCTCCTTACTGTTGTTGAAATACTCATATTTATTGGTATGGTTGTTGTATGTGTGCTTTAACTGTTGAGCAGCATTCTTTTAGGTAAAACATTTTTGTGTGCATTTAGTACATAAAATGAACAAATGCCAATTCATGTCTGTTACTTGTTTTATCTCATAGACCGCTTGATTATAGCATTAGAGGACTTTGTTGTGTGTGAGAGAAACTTCATGAATAGTCTTGTGTATGATAGGTCACCAGAGTTGTTCACAGTGATCTTAAACTTGCCGTTAAAGAGTAGGTTCTGTCCCTTGTACATTCAGTCTTTAAAGTATTGTTATTAATATATTGCATTTCAGTTCTTAGTCTATGGTATATCCAAGTGTTTGTGCACCTTGTTTGTGTCTGATAATCGCATCTGAAGCTGATGAGGTACACCAATCAGACACTGACATTGCGTAGGTTCGATCCTGTAATATTTTCCATCACTGTTACCATACCAAGTCCAACAAATTATGTCCTCATTCTTCAGACTAGACAGCCAAAGTATTTGTTGAAATTTCTTGTTTCCTCACCATATCATGATTGTCTCTGTGGCCCACCTAGCCATCATGTGTCTGGTTAAGAGAATGAAGTGCATCTTAATGGAAATGTCAAGTGCATACAGAATTTTTGTCAGAAAACATATAAGAGAAGAGACTGCAGTGAGGTCCATGTAATAATATCACAGAGCTAGGAAGTCATATGTACCTTATTGTAATATGGAGACTTATAGGTGAGAAGCTAATATTAAAATGAATCTTCAATAAATACCATGCGTTGGTTATGTTGACTGGATTCAACTGGTGTAAGGGCAGTCCAGTGGCAGGCCCTTGTGAACATGGTAATCAGTGGTTCCATGAAAGGTTGGAAATATCTTGACTGGCTGAGTGAATATCAACTTCTCAAAAAATTCTTCTCTGTGAAGTTAATTATGTAGTGTATGAACTCAGCATTTCCAAAAGATCTAGACCAGTAGTTTTGAAGCAGAAGTTTATTATGGCTCTGTTCACTTCCTGGATATTCCTAGTTATTCGTAGGGAACTTATTTTAATTCTTTGTGATAGACACTTACATCTCAGATGGAATTAGCATTTCTGTTAAACCGATAATTGTGGAGAAGAGGGATTTAGTATGGAGAGGCCTTAGACCTACTTCATTTGATATGCTGAAAGTTTGATGCTGAGTTTGTGGAACAAAAATTTGTAGCATTTTATGAATGAAATTACCTCTTGATTAATTGCATTAATATTAACAACCTGTGTGTCTTGATTCACCTTGTTCTTGGGAAACAGTTTTAAACACTATATAAGATTTGAGGTTTTCATGGCAGTGACTGTGAAGAAAGCGGTCTTGTGGGATGTGGCACCATGTAGATGTGGTGTTAACTGACGTTTCAGAGGAATGTATCGCCTCCATCTTCAGGGTAGAAGGAAAAATAAAAAATATAAGATGGAGGCGATACGTTCCTCTGAAATGTCGGTTAACACCACATCTACACGGTGCCACATCCCAGAAGACTGCTTTCTTCACATTTTTAAACTCATTTGTTGGTTCCACATATTTGGAAGTAGAAAGCCACTTATTTGTTTATTTATGATTTATTTGATTCAGTCAGTAACTTGGACTGTATAGCATGGAATGATAGCACAACAGGTAAATAATTATTTATAAAGAATGTGGAAGGAAGCGGTTCTAGCCTAATTTGACGTGCTGTCCCACTGTTTGCCTGGAAGAATTGAGAAAACTGGAATACATACAAGAATAGTCAGTCTCTGGGCAGAGATTTCAGACAGGAACTTCCAGTTATGAAACAGATGTACTACCTGTGCAACTGGTTTTTGGTATAATGGCATTAAACACATTGACTGCGATGGAGGACACCATTGTGGATGCAGAATATTTGTCTTGCTGCCACAGTAGTCATTGATATCTCCTATAGAACTCTACCTCGCTGCCATGGAGGATACCGGTGTCCCCTGTCTGATGCCTAGTTATGATCTTGTCCTGTCATGTGTCCACTGTGGCTTGTGGGAACCACAACACTTCTCAGTGTCTCAAATCACAATGGTATAAAAACGACATATGTCTCAAACAGCAGCTTGGGCCAAAGAAATATAAACAGTCATGGTGGCTTGGGATAAAAATGAAAAATCATTATGGCAGTCATTGTGTTAAAGTGCCCTTCAGAGCCACTAGGACTGTAAGAAATACTGAGATGATAGTAGTGTGTTCATGTGACAACAGAGATTAGATGCACCATCTAGCCTTTTATATAATAGCAATTATTTCTGTTTACAGACATATATTATATTGATGTTGATCCTGCTGTAGCATGGAAGTGGACTGTGTTGTTACTGTTTACAAGGTGCATGCTGCCACCATCTTTAGGTGTGGTGTGGTGTGGTGTGGAGGCAGTGTATATTTGTGAAACATCTGCAGCTTATCCCACTTCTACATGGCACAAATATCCAAGAGCAGGATCAGCATTATTAGTGAACTACCATGAAAATCTTAAAATCAGTAATAATCTATTCCATTATCCATTGTCCTTATAAATTATTCAAAGTCAAAGTCACATTGCAACTGACAGTGAGTCACTCTTGTTGTCGAGCCCCATCTGGGTCTCATGACCAGATATTTATTACTATATGATTTGCTTAGTGGGGGGCGAAGTCCAACTGGGTCTACTCGGCATGGCGGCCACTGATTGGCCTATTGTAGCCTGCCCTGGGCGATTATGATGATGGAGAATTTGGTGCAATGTAGATTGCCAGGGGAAACTGAAGTACTTGGAGAAAACCCGCCCCAGCGCCACTTTGTCCACCACAAATCCCACTTGATGAGACCCGGAATCGAACCTGGGTCGCCACGGTGGGAAGCTAGTGACTAACCACTTGATCTATGGCGTGACTATATGCTGTTACTGGCATTACTGGCGTTACTATATGATAGTTATGGTCTTGTTTTTGTGGGGCGCCCACTCTGACGAGAGGATGGGCCTGTATTTTGTATAAGCTGCTGGTCCTTACCGGCACATTCTTTCTCGGATCTGAGTCCCTTGGGACTGTCTCAGATTTGAAAATTCCCCTTTCATCGCCTCCTACAATTCGCAGGGTCGCGGTGGAAGTATTGGACCCCGCCTCCACACGGGTTGGCGTGAACAAGTCAAATTATAAATTACTGCTGTAATTCACAAGGCAGCCATGTTAGCATTACAATTGAATGTCACCAAGTACCAAAATGGGTTGTCCTCCTGTGGCAGTCTGTTCACACAGTGTTTCATGAACACTGGCCAATAGTGTATGTAATATTAGCTTCTGCATTTGGAATATGATAGGCTGAAGGAAATGGGCAATGGTGAATGTAATATCAGTGTCTGTGTTTAAAATGAGATGGGCTGCCGAAGAAACACACAGCTGCTAAGCAGGGTCGTGAAGAAGGAATCCTAAAATTGAATACATTTAGGTAGTTTTCCTAATTTCAGGAACATAATTTTCAGCAGTTTTGTGGTATTCATGTCTGATATAGATCTGTATTATGGAGGAGAAGCGCTAACAGTGGAACAACCGCAAGCCTTCACATGTCCTTACTGTGGCAAAATGGGGTTTACTGAAACAACTTTACAGGAGCACGTCACATCAGAGCATTCAGAGACATCATTTGAAGTTGTAAGTTGTCGTTTTCTTATGCCATTGTTCTCAGTTTGATTGCTATTATTGAGGCTTTTAACTGACGAATTGACATGAATTTAATTTAAATTGACTATGCATTAAGCTTATATTGTGTGTAGTATTGCTAAAAGATTTTGTTTGAAACTGGCACCAAACAGAATCTTTTAGCAATACCACACACAATATAAGCTTAATGCAACGTGGGTTCAAGTCCTGATGAGGTCCTTGGATTTTTTTCATTTGACATAATCCTTCCAGCCACGCCATGGCCCTGGAGTCAACTCAGCCTGTAACAGAAATGAGTACCAGGAATTAATTAAAAAATTTTCCTGGGCAGTAAAGCGCCGCCGGCGCATAAGGCTGCCAACCTTACCGCCATCTTTGAGCCTGTATGTCTGTTAGTACACAGGATGATTGAAATGTAGTAGGACTGAAATAGCCTTTCCAGAGTGGTGACTAGATATTGCTTTCAGTAAACTATTACAGTTCTCTATACATCCTATGTATATGCAGATCAGTAGTGTCTTGTATCAGTTTATGTGTGGAGCTCAGTGGTGTAGTGCTTAGTATACCAATTTTGCATTAACAAATAAAGTTATGCATAACAGTGTGTATGCATTGAAATGTAGAATGTAGAAACATTCAAAATTATGAAAAATTTATTTAAAGATGATTTTTAGTATTAGTTTTATGGTTAAGTGATTGAGAGTTATAAACGATGTCAAAAAAATATGACAGAGATGTACCTTGTCCACAGCACAGTCTGATTAAAGAACTGTAACATTTTATTAATATAAAATCATATCAGCTTAAAAATCTTGTTGGTTACTTTGGAGGGGATAAGTTATTGAGTGGTTCATTTGATTAGACATTGGCAGATATAGTATTTGTGTGTTGGTCCTAGACTTTGGTGTCTAAGGTGTGGTGCTTGATGGTGGTTTGAACAATAATGTTATTTGTCTGTGCTTTCTAATTATCCATTGTATATTGACTAAATAAATAGAAAAACTATATTTTGTGAAGGAGAGGTTGGATGGTATATCCCCGCACGAAAGCTGTAAGCCATAATATAGTTCTCAGCTTGTCAGTAATGCGTTTTCCTCGTGTTATTTATTGTACTCAGCAAGCATAATGAAAACTTAACTTTCTTTTTCTAGGTATGTCCAGTATGTGCATCTCTGCCCGGTGGAGACCCAAACTTGGTGACAGATGACTTTGCGAGTCATCTTACTTTAGAGCATCGCAGTGGGCCACGCGACCTGATATCCTTCATCATATCCTCTACAATGCAACTTGCCCAACACAAACTATTTTTAGATTAGGATACCTTGTTGCAACATGTATACAAGGAGATACATGTTATGATGTTTAAATATATAGTTTAATGTATAATTATGCAGTAGATTCTTATTTTTAACAAACTTCAATGCAAGAAAGCTTTCAATTTTACAGGTGTCTTAAATAATCGCTACAGAATTCCCATTTTAACAGTGTCAGGCATTTTAGAACTGCAGGTTTTATCATAACATACATTTTACATTAGCTAGTTCGAAAGTTAAAGTGCCTTGTTTATTTTATAGCGTTGTAAACGTTATCCTTTGTGCTTGAAGGAAGTGTGGACATGAGTGATATCATGAAAAATGTCAAATGCTTAATTGCAATATGCTTAATTTGAATAGTTATTGTGGAGAGCAGTAATTCTAAGAATCTCTTGCAGCAAAGAATGGTAGTTATTCCTGTAGGCTAGCTAGCAAACACCTTTAGAGAGTAAAAGAATAACAGTACAGGGGATGACATGATGAGGATTTTGTTTTGGTTTTGGGTTATAATGTAACCAGTCATTTGCAGCACTGTTCTGCACTGAGAGACCAGTATTTAGCAAAAGTTATTCTGCTGTATTAGACTTAATTCAGCTCATTCTGTGTTGGTGTGAAACTTGTCCTTTAACTCTGAAGGAAGAATGTAAAGGGAAAGGATGTAACAGGAAGTGGAGAAAATTATATAATAGAGACTGTGATAATTTGTTCTCATTTTCAGGTGATTAAACTGAACGCTGAGATATATGGTGTTTATGGGAACTGAGAAGTACATAAAGTATTGGAAACCCTCTTGAAAATGGAGACTGAAATGTGAATATGGAAATATTGAAATGGGAGTTAACAGAGTAGGTTGAGGAAGTGTGGATTGAACTGGCTTAGAGTAAGGGGCTAGTGATTTGTGGTACTGATGTATAACCATTTGGTTCCTTAGCAAGAGCGAATAATTATTATTCATACTGACTACTCAGAAAAATACCCTGCACCATGTAATTACTTTTCATGCATTGTTTGTGGATTCAGAGCCAAAAATAAAACAAACATGAGATGCTACCATGTAAGTCAGTACCACTCTGTTTATTCCTCACTTAAATGAACTGTAATTACAAACTCTCAGATTTTTGAAAATAATATGAGGTCCCCAAAAGTTTGTTAAAACTAGAATCTACTGTAAATGTATTTTCACAGAGGAGTTTACTACTACATATATGCAATTCCAAGGTACTGCTAAATGGGTGAGAAGCAAAGTGGCAAGTTCTTGTTACTCTGTTCAGCCATGTTAAAAAATGCACCTCAAGAATCAAATCCTATAAGATTAGTTCTAAGTGAAACTGTAGAAGCTGCAGGTGTTTTGAGAGCTTCAGTTCATTTGGAAGGGATAATATCTATGCAGTAAATTGAACAGACAAGTTACATGTTCCCATTGCTTCATGCATGAGGAATTGTAGTACCTCAGACTCATAATGAGATAAGAGTGATTTAAAATGTGATCGCATGTTGGCCATACTCTTCATTTGTGTTCTACACTATACCTGGACAGAACTCTATCAGAAGGAAAATAATTCCACATATTTGGGCATATTGAGTTTTCTGGAATTGATCCCAGTGCATTTAGAGGACAGAAGTCTGACTAAAAATGTGCAATTAGTGTTTAGTAGTTTTCTTATGAAATGTGTAAGATTTTGTGGCAATTTAAATGTAATAATATAATCTCTGGTGATTATCACATCTATTTAGAAAGAAAATGGTTTGGAGACTTTGCCTCATTTATGAAGGACTTGTATATGAGTGAGACAAAGTGGTTGATACACACACACACACACATACACACACACAGACCTTCTTGTCTGAGAGTGACTGACTGTTCTGCTAGCTGTTTTGAATGGGACTGATTTGTTCAAATATATCAATAGTAGGGTTCTACAAGTGAGTCTTGCATCTCTGTTGAAGTTATTGGGAGGTAGCAGATTCAGCAGGTGGATTATGTGACCTACTGTTCTGGGTAGTATTGAAGTTATTGAAGTTATTCAGTGTCTTGATACATTGCTGTGTTTGGCTGCAACAGGTGCACTTGTGCTCACTGCATCTGTTCTTCATGATGCAGCCTGTCTGCAGTACGTATATGTGAGTGTTATCTTTTTCTGAAAATAGGCTTTTTGGTATTAAATCTATTGGGTATTCACTTCAGTACAAATTTTCTTTGTCCATATTTTCTCCAGTGGATGACAGGCATGGACTCTTGTTTTTAATAAATAGACCCATACTAATGAAAGAATGATGCTTTATATCTAAATAAAGTACCTTGGATTTGTATAATATGGTATGAAAGAGAAGAAGATAATTATATGTTGTGATAGGGAAAGTTGATTCTTCCTGTGTGCATTACTGTAGCTTTTCATCTTTCTTCTCTTATTTTTCTAGTCAGTCTGTTATAATTATTTACATAATTTCTTTCTCGTTATTTTGTCAATTATCTTTCTGAAATTACTGTAGCTTGTGTTGGGTATATATATTTTTTATCTTTATTTAGGGTCTTTGCATATATCAGCTCGCTTTTTATTTGCCTTAGAGTGTTCTGAATTATATATTTATGTAAGTCATTTTTTGTATATGGTAAACTCTTATTTTAATGAACAAGACTTTTCTTGCCTCTTTTTATGTTTTAGAATGTGATTGAAGTCATGATAGATATTTTAAGACATTTTTGAAAATCAGCCTGATAAGCATTTACAGTGCTTTTACCGTCTGTAGGTCCAGATCTGCGGAAAAATCACTTTTTCCCTGGCTTCTTCACCATAGCCCTTTTTGTGTCCATAGTATTTGTGGTGGAAGTTGCACTTAGTGATTGTATGTCCTCCATCAGTAACACGCTAGTGTCAGAATTTACTGTGCAATTATTGATCTCTTCAACATATCTGACAACCATTAATTTAAAACTGGCAAAAAATTACCACAAATGATCACTGTGCACAAACTGACACTCTAAAACATTTTTGTATTCAAAATATGAATCATTGTTGCAGTGATATGAGAATATTTCCAGAGACCTTGTTTGGTTTCCAGCAGAAGGAACCTTGTGAATCATGTGTTATTAAAAATTTTCTTTAAAAGCATTTGTGATGTAATGGCTTCAAGAATGTGGAACTGGATGATCTGTATATGGGTATAGCAGGGACAAAATTCTGTTTCTGTTTTGGAAATATTCTTGTATCATTACTCTATTCAGATGTTTATTCTGAGGTATGTCACAACTACCAGGTGTTAGTTCCTCTGTAGTTTGTTCGATCAAATTTGATTTTTTATGCATTTTTCTTATCAGATTAACATCATCCCCACCATTTTTTTATGGAAGTGAATACATCTCATATAGTTATGTAAATACAGTAATGTTTTGTACTTTTCAGTATTCTAAATACACAAAGTATTATGCATTGAATGGAAGTTAAAAGCTTTTGGTATGCAGATAACTATCAAATTCTTTTTCATTTGGACATTCTGTAGGTGTATTGAATAATGTAATTTTAATTTTTAGTAGTAAAGTTATTTCTTGGATCAGGGATTTCTTTTAACCTTTTTGTTGTAAGGACATACATATTTTGCATGAAAGTATATTTTCCTCTACTGGAGTGTCAAAATTATTTTCTTGGTAGGAGATACAGCTCCAAAAAGTGAATATAAATGAAAATGTTGGAGCAGCTTACCAGAACAGATGGACATCTCTGTAAGAAAGGTAGCATATTTAGCCATGAAAGTATTAATCTTCTGGAAGATCACTCTGTTCTTCAGCTAAATTAATTTATATTCAATGTAATAAACTAATTAGCAAAAAGGAATGTGGAGTCTGCAAAGGTTCATGATTGTAAGAGTTTACTATAAATAGTTCTTATTGCATGATTGTTATATTAATACTCCTCTTATATTAAAGTTTGTGCACGTGCGCTAGCCATGAGGTATGCCTAATGACACTTTGTAAGATTGCAACCAATTAAGTATTTAGTTACAGTCAGCAGGTTTGAAAGCTAGGATAGTTTACTTGTTTTACATATTCACTGGTCACTGTATTGTTCATGTTTTCTCTTTACATTTGAATTTGTAGTGAGTGGATTAATCTGTTTCCCATTTACCCATAGGTCGCTTACAGAATCTTGACACACAGTTTAAGAGTTGTGTTTTAACATGCCTTTCTAACCAGAAAAGTAAGTATACAGAACACTAGAGCTGTTGATTTACAAATTTCATGATAAGTAGACCTGGTATTGCTAGCCTTAACAGCATCTATTCTCTTGTTCATTTGATACAGACTAATACTTAGGACTGATATCTAATGTGTTTTGTAGAATACCAAATGATAGACAAAGTTGAAAAACCCAGTAATCCTGAGGACTAATATTGTATCTTCAGTCTGAACCTTACTTGAATACATAAGGTACGAGTGCTATGAAGTTACTTAATTCCACTCTTGTTATATTTTATTCTTATTTTTGCTGCGGTATGTAAGGTGGTTCATATTTGACTCACCATCTTTGGAAAGAATCTTCTGCTCACTTTCCAAAAGGTAGGGTGTAGTTTCATAATATCAATATAATTTATTTTAAGAAACATCTGGGGGCAAAGAGTGGGTAATTCTCATACCTTACAAATGTTTATGATGTACATAGACTCTTTTTGATCATTTGGTTGAAAGATCGTTTGAGTTATTAAGAAATTAAATACCACACATCAATGTGGTTGGTCTCACTTGTGTAATATGATTTACTATAACATGGCTTTCCCTATAATTGCTATAGTATTAATATATGTGTGCAGAATTTTATATTTTTGATAATGCATGTGCTGGTACAGGAGAAAAGCATATTATTTATACCACCTTATGAAACTTTTGGTTATCCTTAACCTAATTCTTACGATGAATCAGCTGGATCTAGACATGGTGTTCGTAGAATACCGCATGCATCACGGGGAGTGGGTGGACCCCGGCCTAGGCGATCTAACATGCATTTCAGGTAAGATTCTGCCACTAGAACAGAGATAGACATTTTAAGACCAATTATTCTATTATAAAACCTCGTGTAATTGTTTATGAGAGGATGGAATATTCATGTGGATATTGGGGACAGTGCTGGGGTAAACTTTGAGTTGGGTGCTACACATATTTAGTGAGTCTCTTCCTTGAAGGAAAATAAAGGTCTGCTAGCTTCCTTGGCTCTTTGTAAGTCTGTTGTTAATGTGATATTGTTCATTTTATTGTCATTGTGATTTAATTTTCTGTGGATTGTTCTAATCATATTAGAAGTTCATAACCAGGAGAAGGAAATGATAAGGCAAATTATCCAATCCTATGGCAAAGAGGAATCTTGAAAATTTTCAGTTCTTCCACTGAGCAAGCCAAGTTAAAGAGTTGCACTTTACTGAAAGGTGTCACAACAATGTATGAAGCAGGAACCACTCAAATAAATTGTGCTTACCTGTAAGGAAGAGGTCCCCAAGCAAGCAAACATAAGGCTTCCACTGATAATTTTGAGTGGTGTGATAAAAGACATTACATACTTAATTTTTTTGTCAGACAGGACATAGTGCCAGCATGTAAGAAGTTCTTTCCTTTTCTGAAGGAAAACATTAGTTTCCAATGGCGTGATTCTACCCTAAAGCATCTTACATTAAAAGGCAAAGGATTTGAACAGGATAAGGTTTTATAGGACCATGTTGTAGAAATGCTAAACATTATAAATTGGTACTTCAAGTACTTTCAATGAACGGACAAATGAGAAGAGGATGAAATGTGGGCCAGCATGCAGGTAATGTTTATAGAATGTTTGCAACAGTATATGCTTCAAACTGCCTATTTTTTGTCCACTGAGGTGTGCCAGGCAGGTTCTTGCAAGAAGGAGACTTAATATTCAACTGGAAATCGTGAGTTAATGTCATGGAGAGCTGAACACTGATAAGGGAAAGATGGCACCAAATTTACTATCTGCGTCAGTAATTGTGTTGAGAAGTGCACTTTATCACTGAAAACAAGACATTCAGAGATAAAATAGAGTCATGTACAGTGACACAATACTGATAAATTCAGTGAAACAGAAGGACAGAGTATTCATAGTGGACTGCCTCTTAGAGGGACATGGGCACATGGTAGTCTGAGATACTGACGTCCTTAAATAAGCCACACGTAAATCAACCTTGCATATGTGACCTGAATCCCATATAGCTGGCTTGGGCTTAAATGAAACACTGTGTAAAGTCTCGAAAGTGTGGTAGGGGAAGTGAGTTTAAAGGGTTACAACAGTTTTTGAGAAGTGCATCAGTTATAATCATGTCCTCTGCTTGAGATACATTTTTCAACCATGTTTATCCTCCAGAGCAGGAGTATTTGGTGATATGGCATAATGAGAGATATCATAGCTGGAATTAGGATTTGCTTAGGCAGGTGTGATATTAACTGAGACTTCAGAACTTCCGTACCCTTTGTAACTCTTTATTGCCTCCTGACATGCAAATGAATAATATGTTAGAATTGGTGGTGCATATTATGTGGTGATAGGGCAAGGTTCTACAGTACAGAATTGGTGGGCATGTTTATTGGTGCATATTATGTGGTGATCTGTAATGTTGTGCAATACTTTAACATGGCAATGTTAGGCATTGGTTGCCTAAACCCAGTCCATAATTAAATGTTTATATAGTGTATGTATCTGTGTGTCTGCAGACATGGGACATTTCTCATCATATTATTCCATTGAAAATAATATTGTTACTTCAATTTAGTGATGTTAATACTGAAGGGTTTGTGTTTGTTCAGTTCCTCAGGTGGTTTGACGACATTGTCTCCTTCGAGTCGTGAGAGTGTGGATCCAATAACAGAGCTTCTGTCTCAGTTATCAGGGGTACGAAGATCTGCAGCTGGTCAGGGTTCTACTCCATCTCAGCTGCAACAACTTCAGATGCAGCTTCAGCTTGAGAGACAGCAGGTGAGGGTACGGACAAATCATTTCATTCTCATACTTAACATACTCCAGTAAGCTATTCAGTTAAGTTGCTAATGCAGACCCTTCTTCTTTCAATTAAGCTCCTGAGCATATGCCTTTATAGACTGAGGGTGTTTGAGGAGAGGTTGCAAAGGAGCATATTTGGACATTGAATAGATTTAATAGGAAGACAGGATTTTGTTCATGGGAACTTTATAGTTTCTTCTCCTTACCACATATGATTACAGTAATCAAATCTAGAAGGATGGGTTGGGTGATGTATGTAGCATGCATGGAAATATGCATACAAATTTTTAATGAGGTTATATATGAAGGGAAGAAACCATTTTGGAGGCATACTCGTAGATGGGAGGATAAAATAAAAATGGATCTCAAGGAAGTATCGGTGAGAGGGTGTGGAATGGATTAAACTGGCTCAGGATAGAGTCCAGTGACACACTGTCTTGAAGCCTGAGGTCCTCAGCAGTTGTAACGTAGACAGACTTTATACTTGAGAAGTAAGGACTTGCCAACAGCAGCAGCAACAACTATGATGATGACAATAACAATACCTAACATATTTGTACTTGTAAACAACAGACAAATTCAGAGTCAAGTAGGATTCACTCATATAACCAACTGTGAATGACTCCATCACACTAACACATGAGCTAAATTAAAAGTTGTTGTTGGATCTTAAATGTACAGTATCTAAATAAGATATTAACAGCACAAGATTTGTAGTACTGGAAGTCTATGATTGGAAAGTGGTACTAATGAATACTACTTGCAGTTAGGTGTTTAAATGTTTGGTTTGTGGCAAGCATTGGATGACTTATTTAATTATTTGTCTGTCCTTGTTACAAACAGTAGCACTGTTTCTATGAACATCTGACATGATTGGAACAGTCCACTGAAAATTAAACTGTGACAAGACTACAAAGAACAGTAGCACACTCGTTGATGTTAGAATACACTCTTCTGGATTCTTTGCCATTATTCAAAACTGTGAGAATGTCATTTGGAACTCAGGTGCTAGGAAGTAAGGTTCTGTGTAGTTCTTTGTGTGATTTATGATTTTGAAGAATTGCATTAAAAAATAGCATATGTACATCAAGTTCTGTCTCAGAGTAGGAAGTGATGAGGTAGAGCCGACATTTTGGGTGTTTTTTTAACTACAAATTGGAACTGCTTTTTCTGGAAACAATGGAAACAATGGATGGAAGTGTACCCCAGGAGTTCATCCTACAGGGACAAATTGTGTGAATCATCATTTCTGTGCAGCTGTTATGCAGCATCTACAGGAAGATGTGTGGTGCAAATATCCTAAAGTATGGCACACTGGAGATTGGTTTCTCTGCCACAGGAGTGTTCGTGCTCACTCTGCTTTGTCTGTGCAAGAATTTCAGGGCAGACTACATATCCCAGCCCTCTGTACCCCCAGATGTATGACTTTGTTTCTGTTTCCAGGAATCGAGACAAAGAAAATTGTTAACATCATTGTGATGAAAGAAAAAATGCTGACTTCAATAGGTGCTTCCATCATTTATCAAGTTGCAAGTTAACTATCTAGAAGAGGACATACTGGAATAATCACTGAATGTGTTAAATATAAGGAAAATGTGTAGTCCAGAAGTTCTTTAATTTCATATGCATTGTGATGAGTGCATCTTCGGTTTTCTTTAACATCTGGATGCATTTTCAGAAAAGTGATGTGTTCACACTGGGATTTGTTTTAAATGAATAGTTATAATTGTCACAGTATAAAGGTAATGCTATACCTGTAACAGGCCATGGAAGCCAATAAGGTTGTGAGACTTAGGCTCCCACATTTTTGAGACAGTCCATTCAGTGGTGGCAGTGAGGTTATCAACCTAATGTGCCAGCCACCCTATACTCCCAGGAAGATTTCTGGTACTTATTTCTATTAGAGGCTGAGTCAACCCAAGAGCCCTAGTGTGGCTGGAAGGATTAGATCATTTGAAAAATCCAGTGATCTCATCGGGGATCAAGCCCGCAACCTTCTAGCTTGTAACATAGTCCCTCAACCAATTATGCTACTGTGTGAACCCAATTATCACAATTTACTTGCTGATATTTAATATGCACTGTTCCAAATGGGCAGCAGGCACCAATGAGAGAGTGGCATTTCACAGATCACACATTTTGCCTAATAGCTGTTAACCTTTAACGTACGGACTTTTAAATTGCCGGGAGCCCCCTGCGGCCAGAATTTAAATCACCCTGATTAATTAAATTCGCAAACCATCAGAAAACAATCCATATTTTCCGTTCTATGCAACATAGACAATAAATTTTTCTACATGTACACAGAAGAGAAATTTTTACAAATGAAAATTAACTGTGATTATTTTGTCATGAATTGCAAAATATAATCTTTATTATACAGTAGAACTTGGTTATAACGTCATCAAAGGGACCTAAAAATAGTGTTGTTATAAACGAATGTCGTTGTAACCGAAATGGGCACTTCCAAAGTAGCCTTATGTTAGTCACGTAAAAATCTACCAAAAACAGAGTTAAAATGTTGCATTTTTAGTGAAATACGCAGTTAAGTACAGACTAACGTAACATTAACGTGGAATTGCCCAAATGTGTAATATCAAAGACATATTACATCACTTTTCACTGACAATACACACCACACTAATACTGTATGTTAAAGGTAGGCCTACTCACCAAATTACAGTAGATTACATCAATTGTTGTGCCTTACTGTACCTAGATACGAGTACAGTAATCAGTTATCTTCATCTGTTTCCTGTTACTTGCCCAATACACACTTTCTAAATTACGTTCAATGTCCATATCAGAGAAATTCAGGAATGAAAATGACGTTACATACGAGGTTGATGCATTTGTGCATGTCGTACTAAGCAAGGTATAAAAACAGTTGCTTTATGAGGAATTAGTTCGTACCATTGAATATTTGACGCAATAGACAAGGTGTCGCAAAAACCGATGTTGCTATAACCAAGTTTTACTGTATATGTTATGAAATTCCAAAGGACTTACCTGTACCCGTTGTTTTTTCTTCAGTCTTGAATCATGGTGATATTGTAAATATAATCACACTATATACTTGTACGGTAATATTTTGTTCAGACTGTATGCGAGTTTGAACTGCGTCACTTCACAGTTTACGATAACTCACATTCGATGTGCGTGTACTGNAATGACGTTACATACGAGGTTGATGCATTTGTGCATGTCGTACTAAGCAAGGTATAAAAACAGTTGCTTTATGAGGAATTAGTTCGTACCATTGAATATTTGACGCAATAGACAAGGTGTCGCAAAAACCGATGTTGCTATAACCAAGTTTTACTGTATATGTTATGAAATTCCAAAGGACTTACCTGTACCCGTTGTTTTTTCTTCAGTCTTGAATCATGGTGATATTGTAAATATAATCACTCTATATACAATAATATTACTATAGGCGAGTTTGAACTGTCACTTCACGGTTTCAGTTCACAGTCACTTCACTATGATAGTCACACTGACACGCGTGGCACTTCTCGAAACAGTCCACTTCACAGAGAGCAAAATCACACTTTTTACAATAGAAGAGGGTGCTCCTGCTTTTCTTATTTAGCGAAACACATGACAACGTCTTTGTTTCCCTTTGGTTGGCCAGTGTTGAGACTTTTTCAACTCCAGTCAACTCAGTTGGGCCCCCTGATAAATTTGGCCTTCCCCCGAGAAACGCCACTGACCGTGATATTCGGCTTGTGTGATTGAAGAATCATCTTGGGAGAGGGGGGGTTTCCAGCAAAATCAAATAAATTATGTTGATTGACAAAGCGACAGTCTCACCTGTTGGTAATAGTCGCAAAATAGTGATGCAGAGTAATTATAATACTAGTCGAAAAGAGTGCCAGTCCGACACATACTGAAAGTCGCAGTGGCGAAGATGCCTTTTACTCACAAAGTAATACTGGCTCAGTGGGTTTATACTTCTTCCAAGACGAAAAATAAAAGTGATATATAAAGAAATATATGAGTCTGACACTGACTTTCTAACTGATAAAGAAATATTAGATAATCCGACACTGACTTCCTGACTGATAATTCGCCACTGAAAACAAATCCTTGAATGCGTCAGACTTCCTTGAAAGCTCTGCAAGTGCTCATATGCAAGCACCGATAAAATTTCCTCATCAGTTCTCGAAACAAAGCTGGGCTATATTTGGCTGACCAGGTCATAAACAGTCACATCTAAACGTAAATAGTATCGAAACCAGTACCGTGATAAACAATTTATTTGTTCAGAGCTAAGGAATGAACCACTGACATGACCTCACGTAGGTTTGATTTGGTTTCCAACCCAAGGTCAAACTGCCAGCACCCGCAAAGAGAGCATGTGTCCTGCGACCTATACGCAGGTCATTCGGCCAACTCCGGTGCCTGCTTGCGACCTGTATATGTGACATTCGGACGTTAAAGGTTAAATCACTTTCAGATATATAATTGTACTGCACATGAAAATTTCAGTTCATGAAGATACTCACTAAGATAATTTCATTGAAGTTATTCCTTAATGCCATCCATGTGAAACAGTTTTGATAAGAATTGATAAAACAGAAACGAGTCCACAGCACTCCAAGTATTCTCTGAGAGTTTCAGAAATATATAAAAATTAGTTACAGAGTATATGGCTTAACACCACTTTCATGTTCAGGGTGTATGAAATGTAAAATGTGCAATGTAAAATTTGTTATATGTTAGTTACAATTTCACTTCCCATTTCTTTCCACTACCACATACAAAGGGCCTTGGTAATTGAGTTGTTGTGGTATGACCAATACTTCTGTTGTGGAAATTTCAAGTACACTGTTCGGGAAAGTGAATTCTGGTGGAATAATCATCTTAGGTGGTTTGGAGCAAATGGTGCTAGGTTAGATTGAGTTAGTTTGAAGCTCCAGATTTCATGTGTTGAGTCCACAATAAACCCAGTAAATAATGAACCCTGTCATGTGTGCAGCTGAACTTGTGCATGTCTTATCTGTACTTCCAGGCGGCACGTCAGCAATTGGAACGTTTGCCCAGGCGTCAGACTCAGACAGTTTCCTCTGCCAACTCAGCAGGTGCTGGGTCTGCGACTACAACTACAGCAGCTGCCACAGGTGCCCACACAGCCGTCCCCCTAGATGCCAGTTCAAGCCAAGTTGCACAAAGTAATTCTCAGTTCCTTCTGTCAAGGTGAGATTTATTTATCTGTGATAGTAGTGGTGCCTTTTTTATTTTAGCTTGCTTTTCTTATTTTATATGGGAATATGAGCTTACAGTATCATGTACTAATTATTATTAATATTTTTTAAATGTACAGTCCTTCTCTATTAAAGCAGATGCAGAATTGGTAGTGTATCCAATGTAAAAGTCCTTGCTACTCCTTGCAGCGACTATTCTCCTTCCATTACAGCCGTTCCCCTCTTAAGACCAGCTCATCTCGAGTGGTTTCCTGCTAAGTTGCCAGAAGATCCAGTTCTGTCACAGTCATCCGTTGCTTTCATTCTTTCCTCTTTCACTCTTGCTATGGAGGCCGGTCTCTCTACTACCGGTTCCTCCCATACGGGCCTTTTTCTTTTTTTCGTTTTGGAGGGGGTTGACCACTCCACAGTGTCCATTTTCTTATTTTCAGTAACCCGTTGGAAGTACCGACTACTTGTTTCACAAACTTTCCTCTGAAAGTCACATTGACGGTCTTCTCTCTCAGGCGTAACAGTCCATCTATGTCTCGGTTCCTTATGCCCTCACTGCATTTCCTTTGCGGCTGACGCCTCCTCCCGGACGTCTCTCCTGTCACGGTTCCCGTCCTTCCTTTCCAGGCTTCTTGTCCAGCATTGGCCCTATTTGAATATTTATTTACGGGGTCTCTCTTGCACCGTGTCGCACCTGCACAACTAGTCAGATTTCTGTCGGCAGCCATTTCGTGCCACAGTCCACAATTTCTTTGAGTCGAAGATTTTCTGAGGATGTTCCTCTTGCGCCATGCCACTGTCGCACGGTGGGACACCTTCCTGCGGATGACGGCCAATTTATTCTGGGATCCACAACTTCCCCGTGTCGGATTCTGCATGTTTCGCTGATATCGGTCCCTGCGCCTTTTCTTCTTCAGTTCTCCGACCGGCATTACTTCGGTGTCTTCTACGGGTACCTCTCGTAGTTCTGCCGCCTCAGGTTTCATGTCCACTGAGGCTGGCTTTTCATCTTCTGGATGTGCCTCCATTTCTTGGCAGGCCATCATCGCTCTGACCGGAATTGCAATGGGGACCTCTTGTTGTGCAGCCGCAGGTTTCGTGTCCACTGGGGCCGGCTTTACTTCTTGACGGGCTTCCAACTTTTCTGGGCAGGTCATCGTCTCTATTTGAAGAATCAGCATCAATTCATCTTCCTGTTCACTGACTGGTATCACTGTGGCGTCGTCTACAGGGACCTCTTCTTGTTCCGCCACCGCAGGTATCTTGTACACTCTTGTTTTTGCTCGGGTGGATTGTATTCCTGCGGCCATTTCTTCTCGCCAGGCCTTTCTATCAGCATCTATTATCGCCACTAGTTTAATCCCACTTCTGAAACACCAGTGTAACGTGTTTGGTGTATAACGCGTATTATGCCGTTGTGATGGGGGGCATGGAGGTATCCCTCCTTGCCACCACATCTTACGCTGTAAGGGGTTAACACAATAATCCTCGATTACCCTCAGCCAGGATTCTCCTGGTTCTGGACTTCCTTCGTTGCATACAGCGGCCACCGTCTTATTATTGGCGTAGAGCAGGCGTGTCGGGTCTGACCCGCCTCTACCTATCGACTGTCACACCCTATATTATTCTCTACGACAGGGGTGGATTGGATATCTCACTGCTGTCGCCAATTATGTCTTAGTGATGGGGGTGGGTTAAAACACACTAAATCACTTTGTCTGCCATTTCTCTTTGGCTAGTCCCTTCGCTACGTCAGTCAACCCTTTGTTCACTCGGCCTACCGCCGTTGCCATAAGTAATGCTTCAATGTAAGGGGTGAGTAAAACACAGTTACTCTTTCTCTACGTCAGCCACTTTGTGTTGGCTGATCCCCACCTCTGCCATCACTTTGTTATACCTAAAGGGGCTAATAAAATATTACTACTTTAGTTCGTCGCCACCCTTTGAGTTAGGATGTTTGCTGCACTCGGCTGCCGTTGGCCTGCCTGGGTCAGTTCTGCCTTCGCTTGGGTCAGGATTGCTCGGGGTCGGTCGTGGAAAGGTTGAGTTGGTGAGGGGGAATTATAACTTGGTACAACCTATCCCATTTACACCCGTCTAGTTACACTATTTACAATGAAAGAATGCCGACGTCTATCGGTTTACACGTGGTATCATTGCGTTAATAGTTCTGATTTACATTCCAATCTCTCGCTTAGAGCAGATGGCTTGAGACTGTCACTGTATCATTACTACTACTCGATACCATCTCTGTCCTACCCTAGGTACACTGGTCGATTCACCTTTAATTTGTATCCTATTTACAATATTAACAAGGCCGACATTCATCCGTTATTACATCATTTCTATACGTCGTCAGGCTATTGTTTCATCATAATCTCCCCTTCTGGGGTGTAAGACTGTGGGTCTGTCTCTCTCTTTCTCCTTACTGTTTTGACTCATTTCGCATTTCTCCACTATCCTAGCATAAAGTTTCACCCTTAACTTAATCTGCCCCTAAGGTTATACATACTGAAAGCGTACGTATATTTATTACAAAAATCAGTAGCTATAACTATAAACACAAATGTGCGTGCTCTGCACACTACTAATTATCGTAACACACTATCTAACGTCTACCATCTCTACTACACTAGCACCTCAGTCATCACTTGTTACATTATTTTTCGTATTCCACCCTAAGGGCTTGCTGGGCACACTGGAGTTTGCTTCCAACATTTTACAACGACACTTTTACCAACAGCAATAAAGTTTAACAGCATGGCTAGTATGAGTAAACGTGACTTACTTGAGAAAAAGAGACACAGGCTAAACACTACCACTTGTAAGTCCCATGTCGAGTAGGGCCTCCGGCTGACAACTGGATATTACGTTTTAGATCGGATTCCCCCATTGAGTTTTTTTTTTTCCATTTTTATATACTAATTTTGCTGGCACTGCAGTTGGCGAAAGAGGGAGGTTAACTCCTCCTTTCATCCTACACTTTGGGGTGGAGGGTTTCCATTGGCTAACCCCTACGGTGGTGGGCAGGTCCGTGGTACCTCGTTGCTGCGTATTTGATAATATTATACTCCAGTGGCCCAGTTAGTGGAGCTTTCTACTTATGCGATTATGCATAAATGCTGGTCATCAACATTCTTAACCTAGATCCCTAGTCCATGTGTTGTCATCTTTGCTCGATTGCTGTAAACGCTTTTCATAACGTCTCGAAACATTTAGGCAATGTCTTTTGATTTTCAGTCTCGAAATTGTGGCACTACAACGCGACAAATAACTTCACGCCGTACTGGATATAGCGAATTTATTTCACATTCGCTCTTACAATCACAATTTACAGATCCACAATTACTGCCATTGGCAGTATCACAAATACTACACTGCAAATGCTGGTTGACTGCCTGGCTGACTCGTAACTCGTAACTCGAGATCTTGAGAACTGTCTGTGAATAGTCTTCGCTGCTCCTTATTCAGCCCCGTTCCAGACAACACAGAAAACAGCCACGTAATAGGCACCACTGATGTCTGGCGCTGTGTTGCTAGCAATGCTGTCGGGAGTTGTTTACTGCTGTGTAGCAACGGCGGCATCCCGTGTTACGTCACCGCGGGGAGAGGCGGGGTGTTGACTGGCTTATTCCCATAGCAACGGCAACGCTCCGAAAGCGTTACATCACCGCAGGCGGGGTGAGGGGTTTCCTCCATTGCGCAACACGTCACACTATATTGTAATTCTTTATTAAGTGGTGGTTCAATTACATTGCTTTAATAGTTGATGTAGAATCATAAAGTAACCCAGTATTTGTGTCTCCTTAATGCAGTCTGCAGGCAAAATGTAATTTAACGATCAAATCCTGCAAGTAATAGGGACTATCTCTATAGATTGGGCCGAGCTGAGAAGTTTTAGTGGAAAGCGTAGACAGAATCCAGTCTTCGAAACACTGTGTTTTTAAATAAAAACAGGACTGTGGATAATGTCCAGAAACAATATTTGTGTGAAGCAGTTACTTATTTACCAGATGCCACCATCCTTCCATTTGCCTACCATCAAGACAGTAACTGTTGGAACTGTGAAGAGTCTGGTACCTAGAAGAGTTCAGCTCACAAAACAAAGTGTATCCATTGCTGGATAGTTTTAAAAAGTTAAAGATATCTGATGCATATTTTGATGCATTTTTGCATCACTGATCCTCATGTGTTGATGTAAATATTGAGTTACTACCTTAAATAGGGCCAACACTGCTTCTTTCTTCTCTCCCCAGTTCAAAGTGTTTGTGTTATTTAACATTTTATGTCATGTGGAGTTGGCATTACACTATTAAATAATCCCAGATACCTCACTTAATATATTTTATACTTCATGGAATGTTATATTTTAGCGTCCTGTTGCACTGATTTAAGTCCATGATTTATTTTATCCGTCTTCTAGTGCATACATTTATTTATCCCCTCTTTTCACTCTCACTACATGTTTCGGCACCAATGTGCCATCTTCAGGTGCTGATCCAATCCACGACAAACTAATTCATTGCATGCCTTGTCTTTACATACTAAAATAACTAAAATATATATTTATCATATATACTGACAAATGTCAAGTGTTAAAATACTAAAACTGTACAGCATATTTCTTTCCTACGTCGTGTTTCATTACGCGAGTCACGTCTATCATCCTCTGTTGGAGCACTCTTTCACTATCGTGTATTGTGCTCTGTGTTGCGTCTCGCTCCTGTGACTGTGTGTGTTATAACACACGCAGTCAGCGTGAAGCACCTGAAGATGGCACATTTGTGCCGAAACATGTAGTGAGAGTGAAAAGAGGGGATAAATAAATGTATGCACTAGAAGACGGATAAAATAAATCATGTACTTCATGGAAGTTTTAATGTTTTTGGTGGCTGACCTTGGGAATTTAATGTGTAGACACAGAAACTTACTTTCCTGTATGTTTATAGGTGCATGGACAGCGCTTTAACTGATCTGGAACTACAGTCTGTAGAGCAGGAGCATGCAGATCATAGCCTGTTTGTTCAGGAGCTAGTGTTGGCCACTTTAACTGAAGGAGCAGCATCCTTGTTGCTGGAGGTTTTACCCCAGGACTGTGCTTCAGGAAGTAGGAAAGAATGTGAGGAAATGGGCTCCCGGGCCAGCCCAGGGAATGAGAGCAGTAGTAATGGTAACTCAGGCTCTTCCCGTGCCTCTCCATCAACTAGCAATGCATCTGGGACAGGGTCACAACAGCTGTCAATCATGCAGCAGCAACAGCAGAAAGCAACATCTTTGATGGTTCCAAAACGATCTTCATTGCGCAGCAGTGGAAATTTGGCTGGAGCAGCAAGTCTGGCATCATCACTACCTAGACAACAACAGGTACCTGCTGGAGCATCGTCTGCCTCATCCCTGGCATCCCAGCAACAGCCACCACAACACCATGACGTTCGTGGAGGAATTAGGGGCAACTTGGGGGGAGGAAGTGGTGGAATGTTGACATCACAGCAACAACAGCAGCAACAGCAGCAGCAGCAGCAGCAGCAACCACCACCGATACGAGTTCTAACTGGTACTGGCACTATCCGGGAAGTTGTTCCATCGACAGCTGTAGTGGGGGGAGGTTATGGGGGTCGAGGAGGATCAGTAAGAGGTGGGGCTGGGGCGAGTTCACCGGGTCCTACCCGTAGGAAGCCTGTACGTCCTGTGGAAGGCAGGAACCAATCTACAGAACCTCCACCCCCTCACTAACACCACGCCCAAAATTACTTTCTAGTCCCTTCATTTAGAAGTTAACCCCTCCCCTTAATTTCCCCTTTATCCTTCTCATATGTTCTTTTTATGATTTGCAGTCCTTGTATAAACCATCCAAAAGTTGGTGAGACTGATAAAGGGAGTGGAAATGTACCTAAAGTTTAAGCTAGAGGGAGGGGAAAATGAATTGATTAAAAGGTTTGTTGGGCATCTTAATAGGGAGTGCGCTTCTTCTGTGGGGCAAGGCTTTATTCTCTTGCCTCGTGATAGCTTCATTATTTATGCTCGTATGTCAGACTGCTGGACTCCTGCAATAAGAATGAAGTACCATCTGCGTAGAATCTGTATGTGGAATTTGTACAGGGGAATTGTATTGTCATGTATGGTTATGTATGTAAGAACTAATTAACCTTTATGTGTATTAACTGATATATTTAATTAGCATCAGACATAATTTGACTGGTAATAAAAATGAGAACTGTAGTGTGGTTGAATATATCCTTCAGTCTGACCAACTTTTGTGGCCTCTTGTAAAATAGCTTGTTATTTGTGTGCCGTGTGTGTACTTGAAGTTGGTGAGCGATTTTTCCAGGGTATGAACTATGCCAGAGTGAGCTGTATTGGAAAATGTTAAGCCATGTTATGCAGTTTTTCTTTATTTCTCAGTAGCATATTCTTTTTGATTGTATTATACAAACAGAAATGTTGAACAGTGTTGGGATTTTTGCAGGGTGCTCCGCAAAACTAAAAGATTTTACATAGAATGTTAGCATTCTTTCTACATGGGGGGAATTGTTATGGTATGTCTTGAAAAATATGTAACACCCTTGATTTGTGAGGGATGCAAATTGATTCTCTCTCTCTCTCTATCTTCATAGTAACTGATTAGTTGTGCACCTTGTGTCCAAATTTATCAGTTTCAAGTAAGGTTGGCAAAAGATTATTTAATAAACACATGTATTAAACTGCACACCACCTGCTCCTAACTATAGTTATATGCCCCTTACAAATGTGCTTTAATTTTGTTTGTATACATTGTCTTGAAACAGTGGGCATTCAAGGTAAATTAACATTGTCCTGGTTTTGTTTCATCAAACATCAAGTAATAAAGCAGTAATATCAATGGGAATGTTTTACTTTAATTATGTCAATGTATTTTTAATCTGTAATGGTATAAATGAATGTGTGAAAACGTTCCTGTTGAAAATGTTTTCAACTTTGTCATTTTGATTAACCTTTTTATCCTACTTAACCTTTAACTTTTATATGGACCAATGTTTTCATATAAGTGAGATGTAAATGCATTGCCATGTAATTTCATAGTGGCAGTTGTTCTAATATACTTCTGTGATTCACTTGTTTCTTAAGATGGCACGGAAGGTTGATGAAGCTGCTAATTTGGTTTTTGTGCAGTTAATTGAGCAGGAGCCTGGCATATATGAGACATGCCACACAGACTGCTAGGCAGGACAAAATATATTTGGCTTGGGAAAGAATTTCTCAGGAGATGGAGTGTGGATCATGGTTAAGTTCTTTCGAAACAATACAGGTACATGAGTTTAAATTTTCATGGAAGAACAGATGCTCCGAATGTTTTCTTTTCTTAATATTGTATTTAAGCATCCTTTTGCATTAATATATGTATCGTTTATTCCATATATATTTCCGTCTTAAATACAACTTATTATGAAGTGACCCTTCATGCATACAACACGTTTTGGCTGTATATGGCCACCATCATATGTCTTCTACCTTGCAAAAATTGTTGCACTGTATGTCAAAATTTCATATCACGTGTGAAAGTGATATTTCCTGATTAAAATAAATTGGCAATTAACATCCCAATGTTTTCCATATGGACGTCGTCCTCTCTTCTCAAGCTGTCTCAACCACAACCATATTATGGCAGGATCGGTATTATTATCTGACATTGCAGAGGAGAAGTGCACAAAATTAGAAATTACAATCTGTCATGATGTGCAAAATATCATCTATGTTATATATGTTATGAAATTCCAGAGGACTTACCCATAGTTTTTTTTTTTAAATCTTGAGATATGGTGATTTTGTAAATATAATCACCAGGCCCGGATTTTGATGACATCTTTTTTTCCTTGTATCCTGTTTGATGCCCGTAAATATATAAATCCCGGAGATGAGCTGCTGGTTACAGAAATTTTATAGGTAATTTTTTCGATTTTGGGATAACTTCCCGGTCAATATTTGGACTTGGGTATTTTTTTTTTGTCATTTTAGCCATTTTAGGTAATTTCATATGTTTTCAGAAATGTGAATAATATGCAAGGAAAGTGTTCTTTCTCTTTCTCCTGCCTCTATAAATGCAACCTGCAGCTGCAGCCCAAATACCTGCTACCACAGTATGCAATAATAAGTTGTAATCCTGTCCCGTCCTTTCGGTTTGTTTTGCGGAAGGTGCTGACATTACATATAAAACATTTTAAGCTGGCAGCAGGTTACGACAGCGGTCACTCACACTGCGGCCCTTGCCAAGTTCTGTGCAAAGAAATTTGATTAGTTACAAATATTTCTAGTTGGAATCCCTCGCTTTTTATGACATTGTTGCTCAATAAAACTCCGTCTGTCTTCAGATTCTCGCCCTTGACCGTACAGACAAAGATACTGTTGCTGAAAGGTTCTCAGTGTGAAAAGTTCAGTTCTGTGTTACACTAGAGTGATTCAATTTATCACGATGCCTAAAGCAAAGCCATCTAAATCGTATCATTTAAAGCAGATTGTAGCTGAATTAGGAGATGATATATTTTCAACTGACGGTAACATTTTATACTGTAAGATGTGTGACACAAAATCAGCTGCAGAAAAATGTTTCACGATACAACAACATACCAGCCACAACAAGCATATACAAGCAGTACAAATTTCGAACAAAAGGAAATCTGTTCATATGTTACTGCAACAGTGTTCATCTGAAGGCGGAAATAAGTCATCAAATTTTTTTCACAGATCTGTGTGATGCTCTGATGTCCGCAAATATGCCATTTTGGGCTCTGAAAACTTTCCTGGAAGTGAATTGTGGTTCTTCTATCCCGGATGAATCCACCCTCAGGAAAAACTACCTTTCCAAGTGCTATAACAATATCCTGGAAATGATTAGGAATAAAGTGCATGGGAAGATTTTCGTTTCTGTTGATGAGACCTGCGATATGGAGGCTCGCTACGTGGCAAATGTCATCATTGGAACCTTCGAAATTGATGGACTGCGTGAAGTGTGTCTTCTTAGGAGTGAGGTGCTAGAATCCGTTAATCATCCCACAATTTGTAAACTATTTCACAGGTCCATGTTTTTACTGTGGCCAGAGGGTATACGACACGATGTTGTCTTGCATTTTGTGATCGATGTGGCCCCATATATTTTAAAAGCAGGCAAGTCAATAAAGTCGTTCTATATGAAATTGGTGCACGTTAATTGTCTATCTCATGTATTGTATAGAGCAGTGGTTCTCAAACTTTTTACCTCTGAGGGCCCCCCCCCCCNCCCCCCTGACAAGAGAAAATACTCTCAGGCCCCCAGCCTGTTTTTTTTTTATCAAAATAGAAGTCATGGTATGTTTGACATTTTATTCAGTTTATTTTGTGTTTTTCTACATACTATTTAGCAGTTTTTTACTCAAAATGAAAGTATCACAATATTAGACCTACAATAAAAATTAGTTTTAACACTTCCAGTTAACCAAAGTATGTGTTGAAATGAAACGATATTTAACTAAAAAGTATTTAATTTTTTTCTGCAAAGAAAATCAAACATTTAAATGTCAAACTCGGGGGCAGCCCACGTATAGGCATTGTGGAACTGCAGCACCCCAAATTTCCACTTGATATTATTGATAATCTTTAATTCTTTATTTATACTTGTACAATACAATATATAATCCTTAAGCTTAATGTCAGTAGCCAAATCTTTGTATGGAACTGTGCGCTTCACAGTTCCAGTGGTGAGGTGTTTGTTGAATGTTGTCTGTTGCGTGCATGCGCACATAGGAAGTTGCACGTGAGGCTGCAAGGGGGGGAGAGCACTGTCGTTCCCGCAGTGCCGACCCTGGCGTGCTGATGGAAGGTAGTTTTTTTACTCCGTGCGTGTTATGCTTAAAAACTGTGTACCATATTCTTGAATGTGAGTTAATTGTAGAATTAGATTATTATCCTGCTTCCAGCTATTCTATTTGATTCATTTTTTTTTTTTTGGTTTTTTATTTAACAGAAAACTTTAACCATGGCCTTGCATCCCCGAGAAATAAGTTCTGTGACTGTAAGTGATCTTCAACAGCTTAAGTTTTCACAACTGTTTCACCATGAGAAAGTTGCAGTTAAGAAAAGCGGTTGTTTAACACCTGATATTCTAATATCTCAGCCAGGCATAAACAAGAACAAGAAATATATTCGTAGCTTTAATTCTGAATGGTACAAACGGAAAAGTTGGCTTTGCAGCTGTGAAGTAAAAAATGCTCTGTTTTGCTTCCCGTGTTTGCTGTTTGGGGGTGATGTAACATGGACAAAAGATGGTTTTAGAAATCTAAACAAAATGAAAGAAAAAACTGAAAAGGATGAGAAGTCAAAGAAGCACGTTGATAATATAGTTTCACTGTCACTTTTAGGAACCGTAAGTATTAAGGAGAAACTTAGTGAGGCATACAGACTTTCAATCAATGAGCATAATATAAAGGTTAAAAAGAACCGTGAAATTTTGTCCAAAATAATAGACTGCATTTTCTTTTGTGGAAACTTTGAAACTCCCTTACGTGGACATGATGAAAAAGACGTTTCAATAAATCCAGGGGTATTTAGAAGATTAGTAAATTTTGCATCTAAATTAGATTCAGATTTGAAGCATCACTTAGAAACCAGTGCAGTCTTCACAGGTGTTTCTAAGGCCATTCAGAATGAGGTACTTGACTGCCTGCTACAAATATACCATGAGGAGATAAGGGCGGAAACTAGGAAGGCTTCCTTTGTAGCTGTCATGGCTGATGACACAACAGATGTTTCGGAACACACTCAAATGGTCCTTGTTCTACGGTACGTATTGAATGGAGAAATATTTGAGCGCTTTTTGGGATTCTTTATTCCAGAAAATCAAACTGCAGATGTCATATCAAAACGTATTTTAGAACAACTGGACATAATCCTTCAAGGAAATGGACAAAAACTGATAGCTCAGACATTTGATGGTGCAAATGTCATGAAAGACAAAAGAGCAGGAGTTCAAGCACAAATAAAAGCAGTTTATAGTAATGCACATTTCATTCACTGTTAATGCACATCAACTTAATTTAATAATGAGAAATGTAGCAAGTATTACACGAAACGCAAGAATATATTTCTCTAACATTCTGGCTATTCCAACATTCTTCTCAAGATCACCGTAACGTGTGTCCATTCTCAAGAAGCATATGGAAGTCAGCATTCCACGTCCATCTTCTACAAGGTGGAACTTCAACATACAGACCATAAACGGAGTTCATGAAAATTTGCAACCTTTAATAAACTGCCTTACTGAAATTCAGTCAACATTAAATGCAGATCAAACCATTGCAGAAGCAACAGGAATTTTAAAATACCTGAATGATGATAATTTCAAGTTTTGGTTAGAGCTTTTTCATCAGATTATGCCTCATGTTGAAATAATTTACAACCAAATGCAGTCTCAAGAAATTAGTGTGTTTAAAGTTAATGAATATATAACAAATTTCAAAACTGCTATTTTAGAATCGAGAAACTTAAAGTACTGTGAGAATCCTTCAAAGACACATGGTAGAAGCTAAGGAAGTGTGTGACTGTATATGTGTTGATATAATGGACAGATATTCTTTCACGAAACACTTAGTAGCTGCTAAATTGTTGAACAAGAAATGCTTCACTAGTTTTAAGAATGAATATCCCACAGAAGAGATAGTACTGACCACTGTAGCATATCCCATGATTGACAAAGAAAAGCTTGAAACTGAACTAAAAGTATTCTATTGTAGGTCTGATATTCATGAATATTGCACATTAATTGAGCTGCTGAAATTTATCTTGGAAAATAATCTAGATGATGTTTTTAGTGAAATTACGAAACTGATAATAATCCTCTTGACAGTTCCCATGGCTACATCAGAGGCAGAGCGCTGCTTTTCAACATTGAAAGGAATAAAAGCTTTTCTAAGAAGCACTATGAATA